TCTTCTCCCAGCCCCAACCTCCACTCCTTCAAGCCATCCCCACACCATTGTCCATATCCATGGATCATGTATATATATTTTTTGGCTACTATAATCCCAATGCTGTACTTTACATCCCCATGACAATTCTGTAACAACCAATTTATACTTCTTAATCCTTTCACGTTTTTCACCCATCCTCCTCACCCCCCTCCCATTTGGCAACCATCAAAACATTCTCTGTATCTATTATTCTGTTTTTGTTCTGCTTCACTTATTTTGTTTTAGATTCAATTGTTGACAGATATGTATTTATTGCCGTTTTATAGTTTATATTTTTTATCTTCTTTCTCTTAAAGAAGAGACCTTTTAACATTTCATATAATACTAGTTTTGTGGTGATGAATTCTTTTATTTCTTTCTTGTCTGGGAAACTCTTTATCTGTCCTTAGATTCTAAACGATAGCTTTGCTGAAGAGAGTAATCTTGGCTGTAGGTCCTTGTTTTTTTATCGCTTTGAATATTTATTCCCAATCCCTTCTAGTCTGCAAAGTTTCTTTTGAGAAATCATCTCACAGGCTTATGGGAGCTCCCTTGTTAGGTAACTGCTTTTCTCTTGTTGCATTTAAGATTCTCCCTCGTCTTTAACATTTGGCCTTTTAATTGTGATGTGTCTTGGTGTGGACCTCTTTGGGTTCATCTTGTTTGGGACTCTGTGCTTCCCAGACTTGTATGTCTATTCCCTTCACCAAGTTAGGGAAGTTTTCTGTAATTTTTTTCAAATAGGTTTTCAATTTCTTGCTCTCTCTCCTCTCCTTCTGGCATTCCTGTCATGCGAATGTTGGTACACTTGAAGTTGTCCCAGAGGATCCTTACACTATCCTCATTTGGGGAGATTCTTTTTTCTTCTTGCTATTTTGATTGGGTATTTTCTGCTTCCTTATATTCTAAATTGCTGATTTGGTTCTTGATTTCATCCACTGTACTGTTGATTCTCTGTGAATTGTTCTTCATTTCAGTTAGTATATCCTTCATTTCTGACCGGTTATTTTTTATTGTTCCCATGACTTTTTTATGCTGTTGAGGTTCTTGCTAAGTTTACTGAGCATCTTTATAACCAGTGTTTTGAACTCTGCATCTACTAGATTGCTTGTCTCCATATTATTTGGTTATTTTTCTCAAGTTTTGTTTAGTTCTTCATTTGAGCCATGTTTCTTTGTATCCTCATTTTGGCAGCTTCCCTGTGTTTGTTTCTGTGTATTAGGCAGAGCTACTATGACTTCCTGGTTTGGAAGAGTTATCTAATGTATTAGGTGTCCTGTAGGGTCCAGTGGCACAGCATCCCCAATCACCCAAGCTAGGTGCTCGAGGTGTGCCCACCATGTTGGCTGTGTACACCCTCCTCCTGTAGTTGAGCCTTGATTTCTGTTGGTGGGTCAATAGGAGACATTTACCCAGGCCGATCAGCTGCAAGGATTGGTTGTGACCCCTAACCACCAACCTATGACCGCTGTGGAGGATTGGCCATGCAGGGGTCCACTTCACAAAACAGCACTAACTTCGGCAGGTCTCTGGTGCCCACTGAGTTTGCCCCTTGAGTGTGTCACTTGTGGAGGTGGTTGGGTGGCGGTGTTCCAACCTGGTCTGAAGCTGTCCACCAGGTATGCATGCTCTGGAGTCTCTCAGGATGTGTAGGCCAAGGTCAGCCACCACCTGTGTTCTTACAGGGGCCACCTGGCATGACCTACAAAACAACCTGCATTTGGCTGCTACTTGTGCTGTGTTTGAATATGCCCAAGCAAGTCCAAGCTATGAACCAAGGCTAGCTGCTGTCAGTGCTGGCCCGGGGCTACTTAGAAATAGGCACAGGGCATGCTAAGGCCAGATGCTAGTTATTTGACAGAATTTAGAAAAATCTGAAGCATGAGTCAAGACAAGCCATTCATATGGAAAAGCCACAGCAAACAGCTTGGGTAGGGCAAACAGTGTGAGCCAGGTTGATTGAGTCTCAGATATGGGGCCCATTTGCCTCCTTTGTTGGGGGAGAGCTCAGAAAAAGAACAATGGCCTCTGCTAGCATTTCTGTCTGGGAGAAAGCTGCCCCACAGCCCTTTCCCTGATGCTGGACAATGCAGTTCCTCCCTATATGTCTCTGGTACATTTAAATCCGCTATTCTTCTGCTGGAGCTCAGAGAGAGTGAGCCCAAGTGGAGCTCAGAGAGAGTGAGTCCAAGTCAGAGAGAGTGAGTCAGAAAAAGGGTGAGAATGGGCCTTTTAAGAGGAACTTCCTGCCTGGCTGGTGTGGCTCAGTGGATTGAGTGCCAGCCCGTGAACCAAAGGGTCTCTGATTTGATTCCCAGTCAGGGCACATGTCTGGGTAGCAGGTCAGGTCCCCAGTGGGGGGCACGTAAGAGGCAATCACACATTGATATTGCTCTCCCTCTCTTTCTCCCTCCCTTCCTCTCTAAATAAATAAATAAATAATAAAATATTTTATTTAAAAAAGAAGTACTTCCTGGTACTCCAGCAGTTTGTCTTCCAGAGCCTCCATCCCCATGGGTTTTTACAGCCAGGAGTTATGGGGACATATCTTCCTGGCACTGAATCTCTGGGCTGGGAGGGCCTAGTGTTGTGCTGGGACCCCTCGCTCCCAAGATATCCCTCCTGATTTTTTATCTGCCACACATAGATATGGGACCAGCCCATTCCGTATGTCCACCCTTCCTACCAGTCTTGATATGGTTTCTTCTTTAACTGTGTAGTTGTAGCACTTCCATTCAGCTTTATTTCTGCTGGTTTTGAATAATGGTTTTTCTGTAGTTTAGTTGTAATTTTGATGTGGTTGTGTGAGGAGGCAAATCCCGCATTTATCTATGCTGCCATCTTGAACGGAAGTCCTTGTTTTCTTTTAGGAACACAAACGTAATTGTGTCAGTCCTCCATGATGTGGCCTCCTTGCCTAGTGGTGCCTTCCCTCAGCTTCCCAAAGAGGCTCATTTCCTTTCCTCCTCCACTCCCTTTGTTCTACTCCTTTAACCACAAGAACACACCCAAGCTAGTATTTTAACATGTTTTATTCATGCAGATAATAGCTGCACAATTTCTCTTTAACACATTACAGGAAAAAGTAAATTCCTTTTCCTCGCTCCTTCACCCCCAAGTTGTAGTTTTCTCCTCCATTTCACAGAAGGAACAACTTTATAAATTTATTATGTCTCTTTCCAGAGCTTGCTTTTACATGGATGTCTGTAATCACTAAAAATCTAATTGTATTGCTTTGAGTATTTTTAAAAAGTAGATGTATGATTTTCTTTGTTATATTGCAACTTGGTTTTTTCACTGCCATCATAATAACATATTTGAATCTCTATCCATTTTTAATTTCAGAAAGAATGCATTCCCTTAACCTCTGCCTAATATTGTGTAGTATGACTATATTTTATTTAACTGTCCCTTTATTAAAGAATGCATAAAATGTTTCTAGTTGTTAAGGATTACCCATCATGCTGTAATGAGACTCCACAAACATCACTACTTTTCACACCTGTTGAGCACACCTGTTGAGCACTCAGGTGTATTTCCATAGAGCGTGATTTGAGAAATGAGCTTGCCAGTTTGTCCAGCAGTTTTTGTTTGTTGCACTTTGAATATACGGTGTTAGGTGCTGACCCCTTATTTAAGATATCTTTCCTAACTAAAGGTATTTTCATGATAATCAATTGCTTTGCAGTGAAAGATCTGGGCTCTGCAGCCCTTGTGAATTCAATGCAAAGTGTATCTTTCCAAGATACTGTGCTTTAGTTTCCTGAATCAACAAAACTTGTCTAAATAATGATGTAAGCTCTAAATTAAAAGGGAGAAAAAAGGTTTTGCCCTATAATTTCAGTTCTAAGAAGGAAATAATCAGAGATATATACAGGATATATGAAAAAGCCTCTCAATGCAATATTACTTTTAACCATAAAGAAATAAAAAATTACTGAATATAAAATTTGATATATCCACATGCTGAGAAATCCAGAAATGTTAAAAATATGCCAAAGAAGAATATTTAATTGTAGAGGTATATATTTATTTTAACTATTAAGTGGAGAAAAAAAGAACAGATGTACACACTTGGTTATGTGGTCTGATTCTAATTTTTATATAAATGTGTGTGTGGTGTATGAATGATAACTGAGATGATGTTATAATTTATTTTATTTTGGGGAGGGCTAATTTTTTTTTAAATTTTTTTATTGTTGAAACTTTATTTTAAATAGTCACACTGTTTTTATAATCTAGGTGTGGACAGGAAGGTGTTTTTTAGAAGTTTCAAAGTATTTTTGGACACTTTGAAAATATGTTAAAGCTTACCTTAATGTGCAAATTAAAAATATTTTTATTTTAACATCATATGAACAAAATATACAGATCCTGGTTCATTACGTCTGATTAATACCTCTGAGTAATAGTTGGGATTTGTGTTTTCATTCAAGAATGTTACTAAATGCAGCAAGTTTAAAGATCAAGGAACCCGTTTGCTTTGTTTCAGGAAGGAAAGCAGTTCAAACAGGTTAAGGTCATTGAGGTTAAGGGGAGTGGCAAAGGCACGGAGTCTGTGGGATCAAGGAGAGGATGGCGCTAGACAGAAAGTTAAAGCTTTCCTAGCTCAGAGTTCTCAAACCATATCTCTCTAGGACCACCTCTTAAGTTAAGGGAGAGCCTGAGAAAGAGTTCAACAAACAGTTCTTCAACTTTGCAGAGTTTGAAAACCACTGTTTCCAACTGAATTTTCACATTTATTATTCATACTACACCTTGGTCACAGCTCTCTGACCATTGACTAGTTTGTATCCCTATCTTCCCAAACAGTAAGCTACGTAAGAGCAGGAAATTGGCCTGCTTGTTTTTTCTTCCGTGTATCCACAGCAAAATGTCTGACATGTATTATAGTAGATGTAATAGCATTTGATGCAGGAACAAACCAGTTAATGGTACTTTTCTTTTTCATCTGAATATAATGTTGCCTTTTGACTTAGGCTACTGCTACATTCAACTACCTCTGGACAAATATGGATTTCAACAATTGTCTCTTTGAAATTGGGGAAGATCTGAACAGTGAAGAGGTGGCCTCCCTCAAGTTCCTAAGCCTGGACTACATACCACAAAGGAAGCAGGAACCCATCAAAGATGCCTTAATGTTATTCCAGAGACTCCAGGACAAGAGAATGCTGGAGGAAAACAACTTGTCCTTCTTGAAGGAGCTGATATTCCGAATTAATAGACTGGATCTCCTGGAAAAGCACCTGAATACCAGCCAAGAAGAGATGAAGAAGGAGCTTGAGATACCGGGCAGGGCTCAGATTTCTGCATACAGGTGGGGGGATTCCCTATTACGTGAGCACTGGGAGGCGTTGGAGGAGTGGACACATCTTTGTGGGAGGGTTGATTGCAGGTTGCTTGCTGATTTATCATGACTGGAGGCTCTGGGAAGATGTTATATCAGGGCCAGATTAAGAAACTTAGAGACCGGATATATAATTCAGGAAAGAAAATAGCTAAAATCATAAAATAAAATTTTCAAAGTGAAACATTACCTGTAAGTATGCTGACATTAAAATAGACTTATTCTAAATGTCCCAATTATCTGTTATGTGCCTATTATCTTGGTGTTTCTGCTTTGCTGATGCCCACATTGTGTGCTTACTCTGTTTATTTTGGATAAAGCATCACTACTTTTCACCCTGATATCCTCCTCTCATCTGCTTGTGGATCACTGTGGAAATTCTCAATGGAGTTCCAGGCTTGTATCCACACTTGCATTACAAAATCCTCCAATGAGGTATATGCTGCCAGCTGTTTAGGATTGGCCAGGCCAGAGGCTGCTTAGCCCCTGTGAGGCTGGCTGCTGCTGAGAGAACAATGGTGACCTGGGGGTCAGTCCTGCCAAAGGCTTTGCAGCTCAACCTTTCTTCACTTGTGGGTAAGCTAAGGGTGATAACAAGTCACATTCAGTTACATCTTTGTGATTCTTAAGACTTTAAATATAGAAACATATTACCAATTTCTCTCTTTCAATGCCCCCTGTTCTCACACATTCCTTAAAGTTATTTTTAGCTTTCCTTTCAGAAAACTTCTACTCAAGCATTGGCTGCACCCATCTCAATGTCTCTGCTTGCTTCTCGGTAACTGTGGTCTGTGCAACATGAAGTCCTCACAGCTGGGGCTGAAAACCATTGTCTGCCATTTTACTGGTCTATTAGAATGCCCTGGTCTTTCTATTTTCAGAGACCTGAGATTCTGGCATGTTCCTTGTGATATGTTTCTCTACTTGAAATTTGACCATCTTGATTTTAAATGACAAGAGAGATAGTCTGGGTATATGTGTGTTCTAGGGTTGCCATAACAAAGTACCACAAACTGGATGGCATAACACATAGAGGAATTTATTCTCTCATAGTTCCAGAGGCTAAAGTCTGAAATCAAGGTGGCAACAGGGTTGGTCCCTTTTGGAAGCTCTATGGAAAAGCCTGTTCCATTCTCCTCTCCTAGTTTCTGCTGGGTACAGGCAACCCTTGGTGTCCCTCATTTTGTAGACTCATCAGTCCAGTCTCTGCCTCCACCCTTCCCTTTGTGCCTGTCTGAATTTCCCTCTTCCTTTAAGGGCCCCAGTCAGTGGATTAGGACCCATGCCAATCTAGTATGATCTTATTTTAATGAGATCACAACAGCAAAGGCCCTTTTTCTAAAGAAGGTCCCACCGACATGTTCTGGGTGAACATGAATTGGGAAGGATAGGGAAGGAGGATCTTATTTTAGGAATAAGAAGGAATGGAAGGAGGACCATTCAATACTGGGTAATTTTGGTTTAATAAGATTGTGAAGTTCTTTTAAGGTATTTTTAAATTAGGTACCAATTAATCTTTAAAAAACAAACCAAAACACCAAAACGAAAAAAACAGCCCCAGAACTAGGAAAGCTGGAAGATTTCATTTTGTGCCTGCCGTCTTGGTTTTCTAGAAGCCGAGTTAGACTGCCATGTGAGTTAGACTGAGACAAATTGCCAATGCCAGGCAATAGTCTGTACCTCTCTGTGGGGGGTGGGGCAAGAGTACCTAACAAGGGCAAGATCTTTCTGTTAAAATATTCAGCGTGTTAGTTTGGTAACACAAGAGTCAGCCCAAGTATAATCTACTGCTTGTTCATCATTGTTGGTCATTAGCCAGGAAATAAAAAATGCTCTAGGTGGTCAATTTCCATTTATAAGAAAGTATTAGACATTAAAATTTTCAAATTATAATTTCTATTTATAAAATAAGTATCTTCTAAACTATCCAAGTTTATTTCTAGACAATGATACTACAAGAAAACCAATAGGTTTCAGTAATGAGGAAAATAAAGGGGCAAAATACCTTGTAATAAAGTTAAAAAGGGCAATAGCTTTTGATTGGACCCTATCTTGGCCAAAGTGAGAAAGCTTTAGCAAAATACTTCTAGGGTAGAGATTTAATGAGAAGGATGGAGCAGATCACAATACTGAGTAACTTCTTTCTACACTATTTTTATCTTCAGACCTTTAATTTTCTAATTTAACTTTAAAGTTAATGTGTTTTTGTATTTAAGTTATTTGCTTTATACCATAATAATGTAAGGTTTGCTGACTTATCAAACATTCCTTTGTTCATTGAACAAGTATACCCCAAAAGTCTATAATAGGTTAGGAAATAATAATGCCATGTATTGAGCACTTTGTGTGTTGCCAAAGACTGGCTTAAAGCATTTCAGATAAACTTATTCATGTAATCCTCAACACATTCCAATGATGTAGATATAGAATTATCTGTAGTCTAAAACGAAGAAAACTTGTGTAATTTTTCTGAAGTCACACTGCTCGTGGGTGGTAGAACCAAGGCTCCAACATTGTTAGTCTGGGTCCCTTGCATTTAAACACTGCCCCTCACAATCTTCTGAGCTTGTGGAAACAACAAGGGCATGGACCCTGCTCTCAGGCAACTCGCACAACTTTGTAAGCAGATAATTACACGTTACCCTTTGGACAATCCAAAGTCACAGTGGGGTAAATGCAGTGCTTGAGGTCACTTAGGCAGTGCCTGAGCAGTTAGTGGATCAGTGGTTGTCTGAAGATAGATAAAGGAATAGGAGTGTGGGGGGCACGGATAAAGGGGTGGGGGCAGGGCACCCCTTCTCCATGTATGTTTGGAGAAGAGATGATGGGAAGGTGGTGAAGAGCGGCCGGCCGAGAGGAAGAGGTAGGCTGGGCTCAGTTCACAAAGGTCTGTATTCCAGAGCCTCTCAAGCCTTCCTACTGAAGGTAATGACTGGCAGAACACTGACAAGTTTTAATTAGGAAGTGATGATCTGATTTGCATTTTGAAAAGCATGATTTCTAAAGTCAATACTATTTTTTTTTATTGCAATAAGCTCTTGATTTTAGAATGAAGATGAAAGAAAATCACAATTCATTTAACAAAATTAACTGACGAACAAAGTTAGTAGAACTTTCAGTTCTATTAAAGGTGGGAGTGTTGGGCTTGAGTCGATAGTCTTCCATGTCACTACACCAGCCTCTTTTTAAGAACTCAACCCATAATCACGTTATTGGCTGGCTTTATTTTGAAGGGAGACCATTGGAATCAAGTCTGCTGTGACTCTATACATCAAGTGGGACATTATTTAAGAAAGCATTTCTCAAGTGTCTCCATTTCCCACCACAGGGTAATGCTATACCAGATTTTCGAAGATGTAAATACATCGGAATTAAAGTCCTTTAAGTTTTTTTTGAACGAGGAGATCGCCAAATGTAAACTGGATGACAGCATGGTAAGACCTGGTGCCATGTTTTAGTCCTGAGCCAGTCAATGGGGATTTCTAAGATGGCAGAGAGGGCTGTTTGGTAGAAGCAACCTGAGTTTTACTTTTTTTAAAAAAACTTGAGTTGAAGAAGAAAGCTGTCAAGCATGAGAGTTGTAGGTGTGATTCCTTTGTATGCTGTGAAGGGCTGCTCACATTAATTATCAGGAGCAAGGCAGTATCAGGAGGAAGGTAGAAGGCTGGTTGTGGGGGTACAGCACAATGTGGGACCATGTGGAGCCAGGAAAGACAGTGGTGGGCCTGAGACGTTTTGCCTGTGTGTGTGTGTGTGTGTGTGTGTGTGTGTGTGTGTGTGTGTGTGTGTGTGTGTGATGCCAGAGGAAAGGCTGGGTGTGAGCCAGTTCCTGGAGCTGCTGCTATAGGGGCCATGGCTGTTTCACAGCATTCATGTGAGTGTGTCCATAGGTGGTTTCAGCACAGAGCCTGGGTCCTGGAGACTGATGGCTTCTCCTCTTATCTTCTCGCTTCTGTATTTCTGAGCCAGAAACCACAGAGTTGCCTCCCTAGTAGTATATTGACTTAATAAAACCAGTATGTCTTCTCAGGAGGGTCTACTTATAAAGCTTAGGGTGGACCTTGGCTTGGAGAAAGTGGAATTTTTTTTTTTTTAATCGAATCTAAAAGCCAATATGGCCCATTTCCATCTTCCAACTTTATCTCTCCTCCCTTTAGAACTTGCTTGATATTTTCATAGAAATGGAGAAGAGGGTCATCCTTGGGGAAAGAAATTTGGACACCCTAAAACGAATCTGTCACCAAGTCAACAAGAGCCTGCTGAAGAAAATCAATGATTATGAAGAACTAAGCAGAGGTAGAAACAGCCTGATAGCTGTGAATCAGCAAAATGTATTTTTAAATTGACAAATCCCACTATGTCACAGTGTTTTTTTAAAAAAATTTTGTTTATTGATTTTTAGAGAGAGAGAGAGGAAAGAAAACAGAGTGGGGTGGGGGAAGAAACAATCCTGTACCACTTATTTACTCATTATTGATGCATTCATTGGTTGACTCTTGTATGAGCCCTGACCAGAGATTGCACCTGCAACCTTGCAGTATTGGGACAACACTCTAACCAACTGGGCTACGTGGCCAGAGACATCACAGTGTTTTTTAATAAAAACTATGTTTCTGTTTCAGTTCAGAGGTTCATAAATAGCTGAAGTAAAATCAATGAATCATTGTGGTGATTAATACAAATTGATTGTGCACACACTACAAAAAGACAGTTTGCAAACTGGGAGTATTCAAAACAAAACATGGAATGAGGCTCAGGAGTATACTGTTATAAAGCAGCTTATGGAATGAGAAAGCAGTGACTGCTTATTTTTCACAAAGACTGGTTATAATGTCAGAATTTTCTGAAATGATAGGGGATTGACCAGTGGTTATCTCATATCAACCAAAAAAAGTTCAAGTTATGCTCCTGATTTTCAGAGGCATAAGCAATGTCAAATTAGTCTTGCAACATAAGCTAAATTAACCTTTGCTTGTATGGTTAAATTGGTTTTGTCAGCTCAGGAAGTGATGTTGTTGTTGCTGTTAATTTTAACATCTTGAAAGAAGTCGAGATGAATTTTCAAGTGGTAATACTTTGAGATGTTTTCAAGACTTGTTTAGCCGATTTACTCTTTGATATCCTCATTCCTTCCTCTCTACAACCTCTACCATTTATAACCACATTTTAATGGATCTGCTGCCTAATCAGGATGAAAGCTAGGTGGCTACTTGTCACCTTCTCTATGTCCTAAAAGATGTGTAAAAAGACCCAGACTGTGTGGCCTCAGGCCAGCAAGTTTGAAATAGATGCAGAGTTAGACAGTCGTAAGAATTTTACTTATTCTGTGGATTGCAAGGATATTATATGTTCAAGGCAGTCTGTGAATTTTCCTTTTAAACGAGGCTTTCTGTTGTTCTAAGTGCTACATGTTTCTTTCCTAAAGCATCCTCTCTGCCGTGTCGCATTCCAGATGTGTCTCCATCATTTGTAGAGGAGGCGTCAGTTGAGATGCTGTCAGTGTCGGACAATTCAAAAGAACAGGACTGTGAGTCTTCAAAACTGGACAGTGAGTCACAACAGGTACAAGAAAACCTCCCACTACTTCTTTTCTTTACATTGCAGATTCTAGTTAGTCTATTTCTTAGCCTTGTTAGCTTCCAGATAAACTAGCAAGGGGAAGACACTTAGTAAATATTTTGAGGACTGCAGAAAAATTTCACAAAAGGACAAGCTTAAAGGGTGACTTTGTAATTTAAAAATGTCTGATCTCCTCAGTTTCTTATGTGTTAAATTTTTATTTTAAAAGCAAAGGCAAAGACATAGAAGGAGCTGGAGGGCAGAGGGGTGAGGAGTCTCCTACCTACCCCTTTCAGCAGCTGTATCAGCCTGAATGGCGGTGGTGGGGGGGTGCGGGGTGCTTTGGGGGAAGAGACCAGAAGGACTGGGAAAAGTCAAGCCTTTTCTTTTTAGCTTGACATTCCAAAACTGTTTCTCCCTTGTGTTAGGTGTGAGTGGCAAACGCTCATGATCTAGCCATCTCTGTGTTCTCACCTCCATGAGCGGGTACTGGAATTGCCTTTTTAGACATAATCCCTTCTGTTCATGTAACCTTCAGCAATTCACCAAAAACATTCCACCTCATTAGACCACTCCTCTCTGTGGCAGGAAGCAGAGGAAACCCTGAATGTTACAAGTCCAGGGGGAGACTTGAAATTAAGCTTGAGAAAAACAATTTACTAGTGGGCTCCTGAGCAAATTACCAGACTTCTCTGTCTGAAAATCAAGGATTAGCCAAAGTCATGTAGCACTTTACAGAGTAAAGCACTCCACAAGTGCTGCCCCCAAGAAACAGCTAAGAATACTGAGTGCAAGAGAGATTAGGTAACTTGCTGAAAGTTTTAAGGTTACTTGATGTATAGGGCCAAGAATTCCATGCCCTACCCCAGCCCAGAGCCCTTTTCTTTACTTATAGAAGCTGCATGGATTTCCCAGTAAATGCTGAATATCTGAGCACTGACCCAGCCCTGGGCGAATCAGGACACCCTAGGGCCACCACTGACTGTTAATGTCAGGTACTAGAGTCTGGACACTGTAACCTGCAGCATAGCTAAGACCTGCCTGACCAGTGCATCTCTCACCTTCACTACAGTCCTGAGAGCAGATGAATCCATCAGCTTTAAAAGTCCTGGGGCACTTTGTCATGTGTGAAGGGCAGGCCCTCAGCTGTAAGCCTGCAAACATGGATGAGTTGAGTGGATGGTCAAGGAAATCACAAGGTCATGGAAGGGCAGCCCAAAGAGAGCGCTGAGACATCCCATCCATTCATCAAGCAACTCCTGACTGAGCCCTCACAAATTAAGAAATCCTAGTTCCTGACAACCGATGTCATCTGCCTTGAGCAAAAATGAGAACAAATAATACATTGTGATGACAATATTAATATAAGTGCAAAGTGCTCATGAGGCCCAAGCATTGGGACATTGACTTTGCACACTAATGGTGGAGCAGAAATGTGGCGACCCTGTTTGAGGAGAATAGGTAGAAACTAACCAGTTCATTAGGGAAACTATGTCACCTGGGGTCGGAGCCATGGAATGAGCACTTGCAGCCCAGTTTGGCTGGGGGGACTGCCTAACCTTGTATCAGGGAGTTGTTTGTTCATGTCTCAAGTGTTTGATCCACAGAGTCAGCTCCTGGGTTGCATTTTTGTTTTTCAGACATTGGACAAATTTTACCGAATGAAAAGCAAGCCTCGGGGGTACTGTCTGATCTTTAACAATTATGACTTTAGCATAGCGAGAAAGAATGTGCCCAAGCTTCAGAACATTAAGGATAGGAATGGAACAGACTTGGATGCAGGTATAGTAGAACCAAAAAAGAAGTAAAATATTTCTAACATTTATGTTTTTATCAAAAGGGGAGAACAAAAGCTATACCAACAGGGCCATATGTTTAAAAAAAAAAATGGATGTAACCACATTTGCCTATGGAGGTAAAGGACTTTCTTGTATTTTTGCTAGTTTTCTCTTTTAACTTAATTTTAAAAATTAAAGCAATGTATATATAATGATAAAATGTTAAATCTTATTAAAAGGCTTATACTAAAAAGTAGCAGTATGTTTTGCTTTTAATCCAACTAAATGAATAGTGCTTCTGTTGAATGTATCAGGTATTACAATGTGTAAAAACTGCCTTGGTATCAAGACCACTTATAGAAGTTACATTTATAACACAGCACAGCAGAAATTGTAACTCCTCAATAGAAATAGCATTTTTCAGATATTAAACTAGACAGAAATTCTTTTGCTCATCTTATCTCAGCTAAGATTGAGAATGCACAAGTTAAATGAAAAAATAATTTGCAGTGTGTGAACACAGGAATGGCTACAACTAAAAGTAATAATAGAAATAATCTGCCTCAACCATTGTGATATTAAGCATTTTTATTTGATTAAATAATTTTTAAAAGTGATTTTTATGGGTCATAACATCAGGTAATGACTTATTTTTTAAACTGAGTAAATTTTAGAAAAGTAAGGTAGGCTGATTTTAATCACCAGGATTCTGCCAAAGATCTCTGTTAACATTTGTTTATTCAAGCAAATCTTTCTATGATTTTAAAAAGCCGCAGAGCTTAAGTCCATTGATTATACCATTGATCATCATACATCTTTGTACTGAAGAAAAAGTTTCAGGTCTTTGATTTCCATTCACTTATTATTAAAACTCATATATTAAATTAATGTTTGACTGTATATCTGGCATTTTGTCAAATGGTACAATCGTATAGTTATGTAGGTTGAATAAGTCTAGAGATCTAATGTACAGTATGATGACGATAGTTAATAATACTGTATTGAGCCCTGGCTGGTGCAGCTCAGTTCGTTGAGCATGGTCCCACGAACTGAAAGGTCATGGGTTTGATTTCCGATCAGGGCACATGCCTGGATTGTGGGTTCAGTCCCCGCTTGGGTGCATGCAAGAGGCAGGTGATCAATGTTTCTCTTGCACATCAATATTTCTCTCCCTCTCTCTCTTCCTTCTCCTCTCTCTCAAATCAATAAAAATAATACTGTATTGAATATCAGAAATATGTCCGGAGTATATTTCAGGTGCTCTTGTCACAAATACACATATATATACAGTAACAATGTGTGGAGATATGCTATTAGCTTGTCTAATTTAATCATTTCACCATGTATATCATCATGTTGTACACCTTAAGCATATACAATTTTTATTTTTTTTAAATGAATCAGACAGGCAGCCAGAAGATACTGAAAGACTTTGACTAGCTCTATGAGCACATTTTGGGGGAAAATAATGTTAAGTACATAGGAAAAAAAGCAATAAAAAATAGTGCAATCACTAATTCCAGGAAAGACAAAAGTTTAATAAGAAAGGAAGAATAATTAATATTATGTTTAAATAGTACTAGTAATACAAACATTACTAATGATTCAACTAAAAATAGTAAATAATTGTGTAAGAGCACCAAAGGCTCATCACCCATAATAGGAATTCAATACAAAAGTCAAAAACTTATCAATGAATAAATAGCAATATACCCAAATTTATTACAAAATGGAGGTTAATAAAAAATAGTAGTTAAAAGTTGAATTGCCTTCTTGAAACATGACTGGGTGATATGGAAGGGTAAAGAGGGGATAGTTTTCTCGTAATAGGTCTTTTAGTTCTACTTAACTTTTTAAACAGTCATATATTGTGTTTTAACCATTTTGAGAGGGTTCAGAATAAAATAAGTATGGATTTTTTGTTCAAATTTTTGTTTTTGTTTTTGTTTTCTAATTATGTAAGTAATACATTTTTAAATTGGTTTGGTAATAAGCCTAAAAAGTAGCTTACTCATCTTGTAGACTAGTTGAGATAAAACAACAGGCCAACAATAGTACTCCCCTTTTTATCTTTTTATTTGCCTCAAGACTGAGAAGTTTTTTCAGCTGGTGGCAATAAATATTAGAAGCTTATGGAATCCAGCCACTAACATAAAGGGTCTTATTCTTAAGTTCTGGTTCAAATTCTTATCTGATCAACATTCTCTTTAGCTCTGGGCTGTGGTGTGGGTATTATTGTGGTGTAATATCACTCTTTGTATTTCTCTTTTCAGAGGCTTTGCACAACACCTTTGGTAAACTACATTTTGAGACAGTGAGTTTCAAAGACTTCACAGCAAAGGAAATCTGTGGCGCTCTGAAAACCTACCAAAGCATGGACCACAATAACAGAGACTGCTTCATCTGCTGCATCCTTTCCCATGGAGACAAGGGCATCATCTACGGCTCTGATGGGCAGGAAGCCCCCATCCATGAGCTGACTTCTTACTTCACTAGTTCAAAGTGCCCTTCCCTTGCAGGCAAACCCAAAATTTTTTTTATCCAGGCTTGCCAAGGGGATAACTACCAGAGAGGTATAGCTGTAGAGACTGACTCAGAAGAAAAGGATGCCTATTTAGAAATGGACTCATCACTTCAGAAGAGATATATCCCAGATGAGGCTGACTTTCTGCTGGGGATGGCCACTGTGAACAACTGTGTTTCCTACCGAAACCCCACGGAGGGGACATGGTATATCCAGTCACTTTGCCAGAGCCTGAGAGAAAGATGCCCTAGGTAATTCTTGCCTATCCAACCCTTCATTCATCCATAACTGTCTAGCTGTGGATCGTTACAGCTGTACTTCCCAGGTCAGCTGCAAAGTGGGGGAGAGGACAAATCTTGAGTTCACAGATAGAAAAAAGTGAGATACTTACTGAGGAGTTCCCTTTTGTACCACCTCAAAGAACAATCAGGAAGGAAGGTGAAGTCATATAGCCCAGCTCTGTATTTAGGTAGAAACATGACTGACTATTCAACTAGAAAACTTCCATGAAGTTTTCCAAAAAGGCTGTAACCCATTTCAATGTCTAGCATTCTCTAACCCTGTCCAAAGTTCTATATAGCTAACAATCTTCAAACTCTCTTGGAGTACTATGAAAGAAAAATACCAAAGAGTACAAACCCTTTATAGTTTTACTTATTTATTTGGCCTCTTTTGAAGCCACAAAATGTAGGAAAATATCCTTTTCTTGTTTAAATATCCTGTGTTTCCTTTAGTTAAATGATGGTTTTATATGTTACAGTTCACCCAAATGTACACACAACTGATGGATAGCAAGCAGCCTTCTGCAGGGTCCTTCTAGTTCTGTGTATCATTATGTTTTAAGTGTATGAAGAGTGAGAATTTTTCATGGTAGATAAAGGAGTGAACCATGACTTCAACGCTGTTTTCATTTCGTGATTCAGACTGTGAATCCTGCAAGGTTCTCAGGGCTTTTTGAAGAGGTGGATAAATAGGTTGTCCAATTAAACTGATTAGAGAGGCTGGTGAGAAAGGGGTGAGTTGACTGCAGGAGACGTTTGATTTTCACCTCCCTTAAGTTTGCTTACATCATAGATGAATGCACAGAAGAAATGTCAATTTGAGGCAGAGAATGTTACAGGCCATTGAGCTGATTATGGATGGATCTAAGTAACTTAGTACATGGAGTAGAGTGAGGTACAGATTGGGAAAGGAAGAAACCAAATCTGATAACACTGAGGTTTCTGATGGTCTTTAGAGATCCTGAGTAAACCAAAGAAAAGTTATTAAGTTCTGAGACAACTCTTTTATCTGAAAAGCTGTGGTATGTCTTGGTTTAGGAACTTACTATTTCAAATGCCTGTTGTCTTGAGAGAAATAACTATCATAAGCACAGCAAGTAAGAGGGTTTACTCGGTTTCCTAACATATGGTCACAATGTTGTTATGTTTTTCAGGGGTGATGATATTCTTACCATCCTCACAGAGGTGAACTTTGAAGTAAGCAATAAGGATGATAAGAAAAATATGGGGAAGCAGATGCCACAACCCACTTTTACTCTGACAAAAAAACTCTTCTTTCCACTTAATTGATGTATAACACTATGCTTAATTTTTTATTATGATGCTGCTATTATGCTTTTACTTTATGCTTTTATTTACTTGCATAACACTAGGCTTAATTTAATTGTTATTGTGATGTTTCTATTTATCTCTTGCCCCCCCCCTTTTGTTTTGATGGCAGGAAGGGGAGAGAATGGGAGTCAAGACAATTTAATTTGTATGCAAATTGAAGCTCAAATATCTAGCTTTGTAACAACTGCTAGATATTTATAGCCATATTCATGATTTTAATTGTACTTTTAATTTGATAAAGTTTTTAAAAACTATAGTAGATACAAAAAGTACAGTAAGTTTAAAAGAAGGGTAACATCATAATGGTTCAAAAACAGTGGTAGATGTATTTCACACATCTCTCATCTGCTTTCAACCCATAATCGTTCAGTTTAACTCCCTTCAAATTGTTAAGAATTTTGTTTTGTTTTGTTTTGTACTTTCAGTCCCTCTCTTTCCAAGCCATCCTTCACACTACTTCACAAGACCTTTTTTTTACTTTTTATTCTTCCAGGTTCTTTGACTTGCCTGCTAATTAAATTGGCATAAGATAAATTAGCAGGAGAAAAATAAAATTAACTTTCATACATGGGGGGGGGATGAAAATATGAAACTCAAAGAAATAACTAAATCAGGCAGATTTTGTTTATAGACAGAGTAACACTAAATTTGTGAAGAATTTATAAAACAAAGAAAGTTGGGCTTGGGGTAGTAAATTAGTAAAGAAGGAACATGTTCTGTTTACACTGCCTTATTGGCCCTGCACTCCTTATCTCTGGCAATATGAGGGATTCTCTTCTCTTTGGACAGGGAGGGTACTTTTCACATAGGTATTTATTTCCAGCTTTCAGAGGAATATAACAGGGTCAGAGTGTCCGTCTTGCACGGACTATTCCTCAAGTAACTTTAATTCAAAATAATTAATATACCCTGAACCCCATTACACATTTCTTTAAAATACAAATTGGAAAAGACTATTTCGTACATTAAAAGTTTTTGGAAAACTTAAAAATGTTTTTACAAATCTGTTATTATCTTTTTCCAAACTCCCTTTTCAGACTTTTCTCTTATTGCTCTTATAATATATGAATGCTTCTATGTTTGATTTTCATTTTTGCTAGCATTGCTTTGCTTCTTTCATGCTTTTAAATTTATAATTTATATCTTTTGTTCATTTGAAATATTTTTAATAAAATATAATTGAATCTTACTGTCCCTTGGATGTTGTTTTGCTTATTTTGTTTTTAGCCAATGGCATCTCACAGGAGGAAAATGTCTAAATCACAGGTATTTCACTTGAGCCTCCCAATGTTGACTCACGCAGTTGTATTTTTAGAAAATTGTTGTTCATATTTAGAAATTGGGAAATGTCACATAAAAACCAGAATATCTTCTTTCAAAATTGAAATATTCGACCACATTGTCCCCATGCTCCTGTGCGGCAGCAATGGAATGAGTTTTCCCACTGCCCCCCTCCCCCACCCCAATGTCCTCTATTGAAGCTGCTGCCAATTACTGACTATCATTGTGTCTCTGGGATTGTTTCTCCATATGTCCAGCCCACTTCCCTTATTTATGTTGCCTGACCTGGGGGCACTTGAATTCTTGCAATGGTTTAGAGGAGGCGGTGAGAGTCACCAGGTCAGGAAACATGACCAAGATGTGGGAGAGCGGGGACACAGGTGAAGAAGAAAGGTTTCAGAATCAAACCAATCAATTCTTTCTTGCTAGCTAAACACTCCAAGAGGACAAAAGGTACAGTCCAAACCACAGTCAACATTTAATAGGAAGAAGATTTTCAAATCAGTGTCTTCACAAAGGAATACGTAACAGTAGAAGAGAAAATAGTACATCCAGAGACAGCTCAGCTCTAGGTATAGAGAATATCACTTTTCAATGAAGAGTCATGAAAATCCTATGTATCTGAGGTGAGAATTAAAACTCCCAACAACTCAGAGGAAAGCAAATTGTGAAAAGACAAAAGTAGAATCAAGGCACCCAAAAACCAAACTCATCATATGTGTTTCTCAAGAATACCTTACATGAGTCCTCTAGGCTTACACAGATGGCATTCCTACCACTTCTGATGATGGAGAACAATTTTTCTGCTCATAATTCTTGTCTTTTGCTGCTACTATCTTCTACAGTGTCAGAATCATCTTCATAAATAGTAATACAGGTTGATCTTCCAAATCCTTCTTCATAAATTTCTTCATTCTTGGCAATTATCTGTTGCCTATAAAGAAATAGAGGATGTATCACTATAGATTCAAAGGGTAGAAAGGGCCGTAAGAGAGAAATGTGGTTTCATTCTTTTATTGGAGGCAGTTTCACTCATTACTTGCAGTGGTTCTGAATTTAATGAAATATGATATTTGGGTGACCGAATACCCATATGAGGAATTTTCTACTAAATCAACACAATGAATAACTTCCTTTTATCAAAATTTATTTCAGTGATTTAAGATGCATCTTGAGGTAGCATAATTTCTGACCTGAAGCAGATTTCCACAGGAACCAAATGTGACTGCATCTAAGGGTAAACCACTAACACTCAAACCTCTAAACTCTCAGGGGAGATGGATTTAAAAATAACCTTTAGTCACAAAACTGAATACACTGAGAGATTCTCAGATAAATCTCACACATCATTTTGTATAAAAACTAAGACGTAGGTAAGGGAGAGGAATCCAGACACATTCCCAGGACCATTTCCCCTGTTCCCCTGCAGCTGGTAAATTCTGTGGCCAGGCTCACAGTGAATATCTTCCTTCCGAAAGTGCCTGTGCCTTGACTTCATTAGGGAATGCCTGGGTTCATCTCCACCTCTTCCTCATCCAAACTCCCTCTCACTTCCTAAAGATAAGCGAGTCATGTTTTTGTGCATTATTCACACCTCAGATTAATGTTTTCTTCTGTCAGGAGCTGTATGGTGTGTTTAAACTTCTCTTCAGATTCGGCAAGCTTGGACTGGAGTGTTTTCTCCAGATTTCCCACCACAGCTTTCTGAAAGACATGTAAATTTTAGTAACTATCTTTCCCAAAAAAGAACTGTATGGCAGAGCTGCACAGAGATCTGGGGTCCTCCCACAAACTCCCATCCCCATTGCAGCCAGGACTCACCTCTCTCTGGAGTTCCATCTGGGTTTGGTAGAGGGTTGTGTTAAGTGATTCTAGGATAATAACTTGTGCATGCAACTCTTCCTCTATGATCTGTGTAAGAAGAAATTCTTTTGGGTTATCATGATGGTATCTATCCACTTATTCCCTCTCTAGGCACCTGGGCTGGAATGGGAAGCATTAGCTTTAGCTCCTCCTTCTGCTGCACCATTCGGTCACTGTGCCCTGTCCATTCTCCCTCCTCCATGTCTCACCCACCCATTTATACCCTCCTCCATAACCTGTTGCCGCTGCCCCCGAGCCAGCCCTGACTGGAGCTCACAGCGGTTATCACAACAACTACCAGTCATTTATTAAACAAGTATTTACTAAATATCTACTACAGATCCCAACTATATTACATTCTGGAAAAGGCAAAACTATGGAGATAGTAAAAAATATCAGTGGTTGCCAGGGGTTGGGAGGGGCAGAGAGGGATGTATAGGGATGTATAGGTAGATAGAGAGGATTTTTAGATCAGAGGAACCCTGTAGAATGTACAACACAAAGAATGGACCCTAACGTAAACTATGAACTTTAGTTAAAAATTATGCATTAATATTTGTTTATCAACTGTAACAAATGTACCACACCAAATGCAAGATATTAATAACAGATGAAGTTGTGTGGGGGTGGAGAGTGTATGGGAAATCCCTTTATTTTCTGTTTAAGTTTTCTATAAACGTAACGGTACTTGAAAAAAATAGGCTGTTAATTTGAAAAAAACTCTTACTACTGTATTAGGCACTAGGAATATTATGATGAACAAGACAAATATAATTCCTACTCTTATGGGGACACATTCTAGTGAGGGAAATATAGAAAGAATTAAATAAACAAAATAATTATAATAATAAATTAAAAACAAACCAAGGATGCACGTGGAGGACACAGTATAAGTGATGGGAAGGCATAAGTGTGGGGTCTACTTTAGAGAGATGCTAAAGAGACTGTAAAAATGAACCAGATGGGACTCCACTTTCAGGTGTCAGTCTCATTTAACTCTTACCCGTGCTTAGAGCCCTACCCATGTTAATGAGCATAAACTTTGAAAGTACCATCATTTATTGGAACTGCGTTGTGGAAAGCATGCCATTTTGCAATTTTTTCATTTATTCATTATAAAAATCAGCTACTACTTACAGAATGTTTGACATGTATCAGCCAGTGTTCTAGAAACTGAGGATTAGTGGTAAAGAAAACAGACAAAAATCCCAGCTTTCATTGAGTTTATCAGGTTAGATGGTTATGAGTCTTTACAGAAAAATTAAACAGGGAAAAGAAAAGGTCAGGCAGGTTGTTTAGTGGCCCCTGAGAAGGTGGCATTAGAGTGAAGACTGGAAGGAAGTAAGGAAGTTAGCCATGTGGATATCTGGCAAAGAGCATTCTAGGAAGAGAGCAAATCAAGTGCAAATACTCCAAAATAGGAGCATCCTGGCCTGCTAAAGGGATAGCAAGGAGTCCAGTGCCACTGGAGTGTCATGATAGAGGAAAACAAATCAAAGGGAAGGTTGAGGGAAAGAACTGCCAGCATGAAGCAGGTAGAACAATCCTCAGAACCAACACAGGACTGGAAACAGTTCATATCCCCACCAGCCGGGGCAGAACAACCCTTCTAGATACACACAGCTTTGGGTAGACTGCTCAGAAGGGTAGCATCTCAGTAGTGGGGAAAAATTAGCCCTAGATTATAGACTGCTGTAATTCTGCCTGATATACCTTAAAACCAAAACTTGAAAAGCTCAAACTGTTTCCAAATAACTTAACTGAATTCCAAAACAAAGCTCAATGATATTTAAAGGAATACAAAATATTCAGCACCCAAAAAGGTAAACTTCACAATGGTTGGCATCCAATTAAAAAATTACCAGGCATGCAAACAAGCAAAAAAAAAATGTGACTATAAATACCTCTAATCAGGTCCCCATCTCAAACAACCTAGAGATCTGCAGCCAGAGCTGAGCATCCCCAAGCCTGAGAACAGACCAAACCATGAAGATCTGTCCAGAGTCAGGCATCCATGAGTCCAAGAGCAGACCGAACCAGGCAGTGAGACGGTCGGAGGTGTCTCTCACAGCCAAAACCCTGGGAAGGTGATACGCTTGGCACCAGGGTTTGTGAAAACAAGAAGAGGGGTTAAAGCTATCACTTTCCACAAAGGAGGATTCTGGCTTCACCCATCCCTGCTTCATCCAGCCACTCAGGAGCCATGGAGGGGGCAGAACCCAGCAGCCCCACCGAGGAAGAAGAGGAGGAGGAGAAGGAGGAACAGTTGGGGAGCCGAGGCCCCACACTCGCTCCAACCCTGAGGGGGCTGAGGACTGGGCACTGGGGGCCCAGGCCAGTGTGGGCAGCCCCAGTGAGGGTGAGGGTGAGGCAGCCAGTGCTGATGATGGGACATCCAACACTCTGGGAGCTGGCCCCAAGCCTTGGCAGGTGCCCCCCCCATCCTCTGAGGTCCAGGTGTGGATGCCAAGGGTCAACTGTCCAGAGAAGGTGATCATCTGCCTGGCCCTGTCGCAGGAAATGTCACAGCCAAAACTGGAGTTGTTCAACAGCTCTAATACCAATGCTCTCGATGTTTCCCAGAAGTTGATTGAGATGTTCGTATGGACAAAACACAAGATGGACAAAGGCCATGAGTTGGCACTTGTGGTGGTGAACGATGACACCACCTGGTTGTCTGGCCTGACCTCTGACCCCCATGAGCTCTGCAGCTGCCTCTATGACCTGGAGACAGCCTCCTGCTCCACCTTCAATATGGAAGGTCTCTTCAGTCTCATCCAACAGAAGACCGAGCTGCCAGTCGCGGAGAATGTGTAGACGATCCCACCCCAATATGTGGTCTGTACCATCCTTGTCTACAGCCGTGTGCCCTGCCAGCCCTACTTTTCCTTGACAGAGACCATAGAGAAAATGTTCCAGTGCCCATATTTCTTCTTCGATGTTGTTTACATCCACAATGGCACCGACGAAAAGGAGGAGGAGATGAGCTGGAAGGACATGTTTGCCTTCATGGGCAGCCTGGATACCAAGGGCACCAGCTACAAATATGAGGTGGCACTGGCTGGGCCAGCCCTCGAGCTGCACAACTGTATGGCCAAGCTGTTGGCTCACCCACTGCAGCGGCCCTGCCAGAGCCATGCCCCCTACAGCCTGTTGGAGGAGGAGGATGAAGCCACTGAGGCTGAGGCCACTGTCTGAACCATCCTTGCACGTCCAGCCTTGTACAATGCAACCCGTGGCCTAGAGTGCTAGTTGTTAAACTCCACTCCATGGGACCCTGGGGGACTTTAAGGAGGCACTCAGGATACTTAGGAGCCCTGGAAGGAAACCTAGGATTCCAGAAATCATCCCAGGGACTGTGGGCACCCATTCCCCATGTTTCCCAGCTCACATCTCACTCCCCAGTTTGTCAGTTGTAATTTGTTCTTCCCTGTGTGATTTTTGTCATTAAAATAAAAATCTGACAAGTCTCTTAAAAAAAAATACCTCTAATCAATTAATAGAAATAGACCCAGAAATGACACAAATGAGAGGATCAGTAGACAAGCTCAATAAAGCAGTTATAAGAATACACTGGACCTACCTTGTTCGCAAACCCTTCCCTTTCCTTCATAGGACATTGCAGTCTGTTTGCCCAACAATAATGAAGCCCTGCCTGGATTCTAAGGTATCATTCCATGCTTTCATAATGGCTGCTCATTTCCCAAATATGTCCATTCTGGATCCAAATTAAATTCTCAGTGAAAGAAGAACCACAAGGCACCTTGTATGTTTGAACAGTTTCCCTTCAGGTGTCTCCCAAATGGAAGTCTCAGAAGGAGAAAGTTCCTTGAGGAGGCTGTGGGGTGAGGTGCACTCAGAGTTTTAAGGAGAGGATTGGAATTAGGGTTCCAAGGGGGCAGTATTATACTTCTTAGATTTAAAGGAAGAAATCTGGCATTTAAGACCCCTTTTGTGGTTTGAGCCTTACTAGAAATGGAAGACATCTGACATTGAAGATCACACAGTATACTGCTTACATATTTGTTCAAATCAGGCTCTGAAAAGACACCAAATTGCTTTGTTTTACAGATAGTTCTAAAGTTCTTTTTGACTTATTGATTCCAGAAAATTCATCTTTAGCTTTTCTATTTTTTATCAGTTTTTGGAAAATTATCATTGATTTCATTTGATTGAGAGTATACAAGGTCTGTCTGGAAAAAGTCCAGTCATTCTTAATATAACAAGAATGGTTGTGCAACATCAATGTGATCTGGCAGCCAAGGAGAGTGGACTGGAATGCACAGGCATGAACAATGACGACTTCACTGTACTAGTCAGTGGGGGTGGTAGACACCATTGAGTGAGCATGTGTACTGTGTGTCCATCACATTCAAAATGACTGAGTGAGTAGAGCAACAAATCTGCATCAAATTTTGCCTTAAGCTTGAACATTCCTCCATAGAAACTGTGTGGATGATTCAGAAGGCCACAGCTATGGGCAACTGGTGATTGGCAGCTCCATCATGACAATGTACCTGCTCATGCATTACATCTCCTGCAAAGATTTTTAGCAAAACATCAAATCACCCAGGTGACCCAGCGCCCATATAGCCCAGATTTGGCACCCTGTGACTTTCCAAAACTAAAATCACCTTTGAAAGGGAAAAGATTTTAGACCATTGATGTAATTTTGGAAAATACAACAGGGCAGCTAATGGCAATTGGGAGAAATGTGTGCCTACTCTGAAGGGGACTGAGGCATCATTGCCCTATATACAATGTTTCTTGTCTCTTCTTTAATAAACATCTCTATTTTTCATATTACATGGGTGGAAACCTTCTGTACAGACTTCATATAATTTTACTGATGTATTTGTAAGATGCTAATTCCACAGAAAAAATGAGAAACCTTACCTCTTTGGTCTTTTTAAGCTCCTCTAATCGCAAGGTATCATTTTCATGTTGTTTCAAGAGTTCCTAAAAATAATTTTATTTGGAAAGGTCAACAGTAGGGTACTGGAACTTCTTTCAAAAACTAGGAAAACCAGAAAAAGACTCAGAAATATAATATTTACCAAAGTTTAGATATTGGTTTCATGAAGCACATATTTTAAACTAATGACATCACATGTAGATGTTAAATAATGGAAATCTTACTAATGTTCAACCTTAGTGCATTGACAAATACTAAAAAGTATTTTTATCAAAGGCTTTCTTTGTTCATACACAGATTTAATACTGTTAAATGTGCACTCCTCCAAAAATTGAACTTTATATTCAATTCAGTTCCAGTCAAATACCAGCAGGTTTTCAAGATAATTCTAAAATGTATACAGACATACAAAGGATATAGAAAAGCCAAAATAACCTTGAAAAACAAGAGCAAAGTTAGATTTTCACTTCCTGATTTCAAGCTACAGTAATTAAGACAGTGTGTTGTTTGCCCTAAGTAAGAGCAAATATTTAATAGAATGGAATAGAATGGACAGTCCACCCCTGCCCCTTCCCAAATATAACAAAGACACCAAGGCAACTCAATGGAGAAAGAAAAGTTGGGTTTTTTTTGGTTTGTTTTTTTGTTTTTTAACAAATCAGTCTGGAACAACTGGATGTCATTCTGGAAAAAAATGACCTATGACCTCTACCTCACACACAAAAAAGTATTCAGAATGGCTCATAGAATCACGAAAGCTAAAATTATAAAGCCTTTTAAAAAATAGGATATCTTCATGTCCTTGGAATAGACAACAGTTTCATAATGAAGACATGAAAAGCTATAACCATAAAAGAAAAAATTGGTAAGTTGACTTTTAATAAAATTTAAAACTACTACCCATTGAAAGACAAGATGAGCAAAATGAAAAGGTACTTGTACAGAATATTTATAACCATAGGCTGGGAGACAGAATTTGGAACACATACATCTGACAAAAAAATTTCTATCCATAATACAAAAATTACTCCTACATATCAATAATAAAAACATAAACTATCCATGTTTTTTTAAATGGCAGAAAACTTGAACCAACAGTTCATAAAAGAAAACATATATATGGTCCAATAGGCATATAAATAATTGTCCAACACATTTAGTCATTAGAGAAACTAAAACTGTAATGAAATACCACTTCATACCCATTGGAATGATCAAAATTAAAAGATTAGCAATGCTAGCTGTTGTCAATGATATGGAACAACTGAAATTCCCATATATTTAAGATGCAAGGGTGAAATGGTACACCCACTGTGGAAAATAGCTTGATAATTCTTCATAAAGTTATTACGAGGATGTACCTTAGCTTGTAGTAATAACACTCTTAGATATACCCAAGAGAAACAAAAGCATGTGTCTACAAAAGTACTTGCACAGAATATTTAGAGAAGCTTTATAAAAGTCAAAAAATGAAAAAAACCAAAATCTCCCCAAACAGGAAAATGGTAAATGCATTGTGTAATACTCCTATGAGGGAATACTACTGAACAATAAAAAGGAAGAAAATAACTGATATTAATAACAAATGAATAAGTTTCACAGACATTATATTGATGGCAAAGAAGCTATACACAAAAGAGCATATACTGTATGATTCCATTTATAAAAAGTTTAAAATAAGAAAAAAATAATCTATGGTGTCAGGAATCAAAAGAGTAGTCGGCTTGGGGCAAATCTTGGGGAGACAGGGATTAACTGGAAAGGAGATTAACTGGAAAGGGATTAACTGGAGAGTTTCTTGATTTGGGTATTGGTTACATGAATATATACATTTGTCAAAACTCATCAAAATGTACATTAATATCTGTGCATTTTGCTAAGTGTAAATCATATATATGAGAGAGGGAACACCCATTTACAGATTTATAGTCAGTGTCAATAGAGGAAGAAGAGATGCACACAAATGATCAAATTTCTCCCCACTAAGAGGAACTACTACTAGCTGCTCAGACATCTGAGCTCTCTAAACCCCAGAAGCACTATTACAGAGTATGCTCCATCTCCTTAGTATTGTTTTGCTCAGTAATATAGTGCAAGCCATAAATAGGCTTTTACTAGTGAAATTAGTGGCTTTTCAGTTAGCATAGCAGTTGGAAATGGGATCTTAAAAATGGAATATTCAAGATACCTAACATATTTTAGAGACACTTTCTCTACTTTGCATGAAATGGGTACAATTATCTAACAAGCCTGTAGCTCATACACTTAGGAATGGGGTCTAAGACTCGACTCCCAAATGGTCCTGTGTCCTGCTTTGGAGCAGCTCTGGTTGCCTGATGCTCACTACAATGGTTACAGAATAATCATTGGAGCCTACTTCTGCAATGCCAGCACTTATACCTACGATGAATCTTTGATGCACCCAATAACTCAGAAAACTGGTGGTATAACTGTTTGGATCTGCTAGCAAACACATGTTTGTGTAGTAAATGCCTACGTGTGTGGTAGAATTTGGTCTGAGATCTACTTTCATCATAACCTTCTATCAGCCTCAAGGCTGCAGAGGATTGACTCACAGGAATAGCCAACCTTCACAACTTCTAACTTTTAGGGAGCTGCCCTTATTTACTAAGAGTTGTACATGACCAAATTTGCTTAGTTTAATTTGCAACAATACCCTTTCTCTTCAGGCATAGTCAAGAATGAGAAGGACATTCAGAGACCAGGATTTTGGCAAAACAGGGAATTTCAGCTTCTGTCTATGTTTCACATTCTATTATATCTTGTTAATTATAATTTTCATTCCAATAACCCTGTGGTATGGCTATCTAGATAAAGGACACCAAGACTATCAGTCTACTTGCATATTTCCTAGGGCAGATGGGAAAGGAGAAATATTCCCAGAAAGACAAAAGCTTGACTAATCACAAGGGCACACCTGGGAACCAGATGTCCCACCAAGACGCACATCCAGCCATTGGCGCGCTTTGGGCTGAGTTACCTCTTTCTCTCGATTGCAGTTCTCAAGGACAGCACTGTATGAGTCATTTATTTTCTTCCTTTCTTCCTCTGACTCTAACTCAAACTTTTTTGTCATCTTATTTTCTGTGGAGGCAAGAGGAAATCACACAGAGGTGTAAATGTGGGGGAAAAAACAGGTGCAGAGAGAAAACCAGCATATCTGTAGATAATAGAAAGTCCAGAATGGGTCACACCCAAGGTCGTTTCAGCTTGGTGATACGGCTGATGCATGCCTGGAGAGACATGGGAGTGAGGTCAGCATGGTGGTGGCTCTCAACCACATCAGCCGTGTGGGATTTATTTCTGTCTCTTGTTCTTTTTGTGTAGTTTATTTTAGACCTGTTGCCTATTATTTTGTTTATTCTCTCTGCTGAAGTAACCACTATGCTTTCTTGAATATCCTTATCTTAAAGTACAGCTCTTGGCTAACTTGACTTTTACTGCAATAAAATTTATTCTGTACTTAGCTCTGGGGTAGAGGTAGTCCTAAATGGTTTTGGGGAGCAAAGGAACCTGCCAGCAGAGACCCAGTCAACACTGAACAGAAGGAACAAGGGATGAGTGGCTAACACAAATTTCTTCAGCGTTACTGTGCTGGGGATGGATAAGGAGTCAACTCCTGGCCTCACAGGATAATTCTGGACTGAGCTACACTCTGAGCAGGCTAAGCCTCGTCTTCCAAAACTGGTTGTAACATCTTAACTTAGACAACACGGAATGAGTGTAATGTGAGTAGCTAGGAGTCAGGGAGGTGCCCTGGGATATGCTACACCAGGATTTCAGGCAAAGCCTCAAATAGGAGCAGCTCCACAGTCCATTCCCAACCTAAACTCTGGTGTCTGCATGCTAATTTCTAGCAGTCCAGCATCCTTACTGGGGTAGGAATGGCCTTAAGAATTAGCTTTCCCAGGGAGTGTCTGTATTTAAATCAGTAATTTGCTAAAATCAACTAAATTTTATATAAATTAGGTTTGGGCAGGATGTGGAATAGGTTTGTAGAGGCCCCACTCCTGCCTCTATGCTAGGGAACAGAGTTCCCATAGATTCCTCTCTCCCTTTTGCATTTATGAAAATGTTCAGCTGAGTGGGAGGCTCACCAACAGAGCACTTCGTGTGATCCCAACTCTGCGCTAAGTGTTAGAAATATTAAAAATATATAGCAGTGTATAAATGTATCAAATCAATATATTATATACTTTAAACTTATGCAGTATTAATGTGTAAATTATATCTCAGTTTAATATATGTTTATATCCATATATATGTACCAAATATGGCTTACTTGGGGGTGGATGGGAATATAGAATACAATTCAGTACAATATATTGTATTGCTCCTCCCTCAACAACCCAATATTTAAAACCTAATTTAAGAACTTTTTTTCTGAAACTTTTGGACCAGCCTGTATCTAGATAACAAGTCTGCATTCTTACAGATGCCCCAAAGCTTGCTCCAGCCTATGATGGCCAAACTTAGAATCAGTGAGTCTTGGAAGGTACAGACTCAAGCAACTGAACTTCATAAAACACTCCATTCCTGTTGTCACTTTCTTGAAAACTCCAGGCACCTACCATTCAGGAGTCTAGCCACATGGCTCATCACTGTTAGTGAATCCACGGCTGTCTTCCCTGAGTCAAGACCAAGTTTAATGGCAGTTTTTTTGGTGCACCTATCGTCAAGAAGTCAGAAGGACTCACTTTGCTGTAGCAGGATCTTTTCGCGCTCCAACTTCTCATCCTTCTCCCATTCTGCTTTCTTCCTTGACCACTTATCTTCTAGCTCATCATAAATGCTGTCCTGTGGAGGCACAAAGGAATCATGAAGGGAAGGCCCCTGAAAAAGACTTCACACTGGCCCAAGGCCCAGCACTGGGCCCTTTGCAGTTTCTCTGATCTGGGACCCTTGTTTGGGGTGGGGGCGGGTGGTGCAGGGCCCTGTATGGGTGACTGGTGAAAGTAAATTCCAGCCCAGCCCTTTGAGAGCTAGAGAAGCCTAAAAGTCAGACTCTGCATGGTGTTTGCCCACTGGGACTGGGCTTCCTTTCAAGACAGGTACAGTTCCTCATGTTGAAGATTCATATGTCAGCTCTCTCTGAATTATGCATAAATCACTCATAAATAGCACATGAAGAAACAAGGGAAATGCCTAAAAGTTAATTTGAACATTTAGAAAATAATAGAATGTTTTTCAGAGAGTGTCTACTTCCTTCAGCAAATCTAACTTCCTTTGTGGTTGAAGTTAAATAAGCCTAACCAGATGTCATCCCCTGTGGGTTGGCTCAGATTTCATGATAGTGGGACCTCAAGAAGCAGAAGGCCCACTTCCTGGATACTGCCAATAAGGTCTCAGAATCTTGACCCTCTTCCTTGTTAGGTTAATGGCAGAATTCACACTGGGCCTGGCCATGAGAGCTCACTTTTTATTGTGGCCATTTAAATAGAGTTTCTCTCATCATAATCTTCAAGACTGGCAGGCAGCTCGGTTTCAAGAGAGGTCACACTCTTTGGAGAGCCCCAGCTTAAAGCACACACAAAGCCTATCTAGGAAACTGGGCAGTTTACCTGCTTGTTAACCTGACACTTCTCTTAGGCTCTGGTCTATGACACTTTCCCTGGCTGTATCAAGGTACATCTTGAAAAATGAGTTTTAAATACAAGCTCAAAACAAACTGTGAGTGATAAATAGGATTTCAGAGGTGGTGCTGGCGCTGAACTTTATTTCCTCCTTTGACAGGGTGATTAACTGTCCTTGTTTGCTTGGAACTGAGTTGCTTCCTGGGACTCCAGACTTTCAGTGCTAAAACCCCAAAGTCCTAGGCAAACAGACTAGTTGGTCACCACAGGATAGGGGCTTGCTGCCTCAGCCCTTCCCTGTCCGCTCCCCATCTCCCATTCTCTCTTTTTCTTAATGAAGAAATCCTGCCCTAACTTCGTCCCTGGGCCTCTATCAAATTGGCTGACTAAGTGAATGGGCGATGTTCTGGGATGACTAAGCATCCCCATGTTCTACTGGTGGAAGTAGTGCAGTATTTCTGGATGACAATTTGGCAACTGTATAGAGGCTTTTACAATGGTTATTCCTTTTGACCCAGCACTCTACTAAATCAAAGATATCACAAATTACAAATATTAACAGCCATTGTCTTGGGGTGGTAATAGTTTTTTGTTGTTGTTGCTGCTGCTGTTGGTTTATGTATTTCCTTTAAAAAAAAAGAAAACACCAAACAGGTATTACTTTTGTAATCACAAACATATTTTTCAATGGGTTTCTTTAGGGGCCTGGGTGACTGACTTGTCACACATGGAAGCCATCACAGTCCAAAGGTTCACTGTTCTCTCTGGGCCCAGTTAGTGTGTGCTGCTTAGGTCCAAGGATGTTAGGAATCTAATGAAATTATTTTCTGGGCCAGAGCTCTAGATTCATCCCGACATCATTGAGCAACAGAACAAGCCTTGCTTTTCTTACTCTCATAATCCAACAAGAACGCTCTGAATCTCACCTGATACATAAGAAACATAGTCTTCAAATACTTGTGTTCCTTTCCCATCTCCTCTGGACAAAAGGAAAACAGCAACATCATTACTGCTCTGAGACACACACTTTCAAATTCAAATGTGAGCTCTCTTGCACACTTTCCTCACCTCAAACTCATCCCCTAGGCGGTAAAGCCACAGTGTACCTCAAAAATCACTCTGGAAGCTTATCAGAAACTTGGATGCCTGGACCATCCCCCCTACCCACCCCCTCTAAAACCTCAGGAACTGAGCTCTCAGAGGAGAGGCCCAGTATCTGGCGATGATATGTTCCTCAAGCAATTCTGATGGACACTGAGTCTGAGAACTAAGCCGCAGGGTAAACCTGAATCTTTGGAAGAAGAGAAGCAAAATCTTATAGCATGTACCTGCCTCTCTCTTTTTAAAATAACATTTCCTAGCATACATTGGTTTTGAAAACAATACATAGTCTCTTTTAAAAACTGGGAAATGAGCAAGGTATAAATACCATCTTTAAAAAAATGAAAGGCAATAGAAAGAGAGAAGATTATAAAATTTCTCTTTCTCTCTGTTGGAGGTTAGTCTATAAACCCAGAATTCTGAAGAAGACACACTTTCTTCCTCTCAAGGGCAGCATGAACAATGGGATAAATGGCCAACGCAAATCAGAGTGTATCAATGAATTTAATGAAACACCATTATTTTGCAGGTGAGGAAACTTGTTGAATTAGAATAGTAGTATATTTGCAGAACTTTAAATATACTTTAAAAGTACTTTCTCATTCTGATAAAGGCAAGTATTGTCCTCAGTCTGTAGATGGGGAAACTGAGACTTGATATTAGGGGACTTGCTTGTATCTCAAAACTTGGTCGCAGATCCTTCCATCGTCTGGGTGTAGGAAGGACAGTGGTAGACATGGCTCTCCTCTTTTCAGTTTAATTCTCAATCACTCCCTCTCCCACAGCCTCAGGAGGAAACCTGGAAAGTCCAGTTATAGCCCACCCACGGCCACGCAAGTTCCTTAGCCCTAGGCCCACGTGGTCAGCCTCCTGCCCCTTCACCATGGTCATTCTTCCAGGTCCTGAACATACCTAGTTTTTCCTGGGCAGCCAACTTCTCTGCCTTTAAGATTGCTTTGTAGTTGTTCTCCAACTCCTTGAGTTCTGCTGCATGAGCCTCTTTGAGCTCCCTGTGGGGCTCCGGGAGAAGGCCACAATCATCGGTGAAAAGAAGTCCAGAGTTGAGCTGTATTCACCTGATCCCATCTCGCCTCCCTCACATAGGGTGCCAGTGGGCACTCTGGGAGACCCTCACTTTTTGATGCATTCCCTTGGCATTTATCCAGAGAAGGGGGAAAGGACTCTTATTTTCACCAATCACTATCTTGAATGGAGCCAAGGGGTTCCTTAGATGGTCCTTAAGAACACAGTCTTGAAACTGTGGGCTGCATTAGCTCCCAAGATGAGGGTTAAAATGAAAGGCTTTATGAGTTGTCAAGACAACAAAAGACATGGAGGAACCTTACCTGTGTATTACTAAGTGAATGAAGACAATCTGAAAAAGTTGTTAATGTATGATTCCAACTATTTGGCATTCTGGAAAAGGCAAAACTATGGTGGCAGTCAAAAGATCAATGCAGTGATTGCCAGGGGTTTGAGGGGAGAGAGGGATAAATAGGCAGATCACAGAGGATTTTTAGGGCCGTGAAACTCTTCTGTACAACACTATAATAGTGGATACATGTCATTATACATTTGTCAAACCCCATAGAATGTGCCCAGGCAGAGTAGCTCAGTTAGTTAGAGCATTGTCCCAATACTCCAAGGTTGTGGGTTTGATCCCTGGTCAGGGCACATGCAAGAAGCAACTAGTGAATGCATAAGTAAATGGAACAAGTAGAAGTGTGTCTGTGTCTGCCTGTCTGTCTGCCTGTCTCTCTCTCTCCTTCTCCCCCTCTCTCTAAAAAAATCAATGAATAAAAGTTTTTAAAAAACACGTAATGTGTTTTCACAACACCAACAGTGAACTCTAATGCAAACTATGGATTTTGGGTGCTAATGATGTGTCAGTGCAGGGTCGTCCACTGCAACAAACGTACCATGAGAGTTTGGGATGTCAATAATGGCATAGGCTGTGAAGGTGTGGGGTAATGGGGGTATGTGGGAATTGTCTGTTTTACACTCCATTTCACTGTGAACCTAAAACTGCTCTAAAAAATAAAGTCTATTATAAAATAAATAAGTTAATTAATTAATTAAAAATGTCTTTTTAAAAAGCAAGCCTATGACTCAACTAGGAAGGCTTCTCTCCACCAGGGCTTCTAAGGCTACTCTTGGGTTCAGCAGGTAGCAAGGAGGGGATTTTGTAGGTTTCCTCACCCACACAAACAACAGAGCTCATTACTGCCCCTTGGTTGGTCTTTGGGGCTCTGGTTCCTGCCCCTCCCATACCTCCTTCCCATTTTTCCCAGGCCCTGATTTAACAGCAGGGAAGGTAAGAGGAGAAGAGGAGGGAGATGATGGGAAAGAGCAAGAAGAAGAGGGGACTGGGCTGAGAACAATAGTTGTTTATCATAGAAATCTCATATAGAATAAAAAATGGTTCTTCTCAGCAATCAACAAAAAGGGAGATTATAATGGAAATAAATAATTGGATGAGAAAGTACAAACCGAGAATAACCTTTTCTGGGCTACATTTCAGTGGCCTCAAATCAAACAATCCTACTCTCCAAAGACAGGTATACTACCTCCCCTCGCCCCTTGCCACCCAACTCCATTTAGCTCTGTCTGAAATCCCAGTGAACTAAAATCCTGCAAGGATGTGGGGGACTTCAGGCCTTCAGCACACAAGGGCTTGTGCCAGAAAACATACCTGTTCTTGTTTTCAAAGTTCTGCTTCATTTCAGCACAGCGGAGATCCATTTCATCAGAGAGCTGGAAATGAGGCCATCATTAGCAACACAGGACTGAGGACCCCCACTCCAGTCTGCAACTTCTGAGAAACCTTCTCATTCATGGGGAACACCCCACTCCCCAGGTTTCTCCATCATTACTGAGGGAACAGAACAATTCCTGTCTTGCTCTATGTTGTCTGGTATGTAATCGGTTCGTAGTGTTGCTGTACAGAAACCATCTCAGTCACTAAAAGGTTTTGTGAGCAGGTCTGGTTTCCCCTGCTGGGCTGTAATCCCTTTGTAAGAGCATGGCCTCTGGACCCTCAGACACATAATTCAATTGAACAATCATTTCTTGAACAAAGGGCTTGGTCTGGAAAAGCCAAAGAAGTTGAAGACTCAGACCCTGCCTTCAATGAACTGCACATCAGTGCTAACAAATCCTTGTTGGCAGAATGGTTGTATCCCAGTAGGTAGGATTTGCTCACTTCCATTCTAACACATGAGGCCCTCTGGTCACTGTCTCAGGAGGGATGGACACTTCCAAACTAGTTAGGACCTGCTGTCAGCTGAGACAAGGGTTCAGGACTTGTCTTTGTCCCTCTCTGACTAAACAGTGGCATCAGCACACTTCCTTTGCACAAGTTCACACAACAGTTTGGGGTGTTTATAGGTAGGAAAATTTTATTTCTTCTTTTTTTAGGTGAGAGAATTTTAAGCATCACAGTCTGAGGTCCCTATATGGAAACAATCTCTAAATATGTCTTCAGCAGGACTGATGCTTCAGAGAGTGAAAATGAGCATTTTGCCCAGTAAAGGTTGTTTTAGTAGGAAAAACCCCATAAACCTGGCAGTGTTTTCAGATAAATATAGTGATGGCTTAGTAGCAGGGGAGGACTCAGTCTGAGTCACAAGCTGGGTCTCTGGAGGATTCAGAAGCATCTGGGGGGTATGAGAGGGTGAGGGGTGAGCCTGCTGGAGATTCAACCTTTACAGGTGTGTTTCAATAACAACAGGAAATATGGCAGGGGATTCTGATTATCACTCCAGACCAGGCCACCAAGCACACCTGCTCGAAGTGGGAGAGAAGACATTATGATAAAATAGATGGTAAAATCTAAAGAAAATGTCACCTAAATCCCCAGGAAACAGAGTGTAATTGATATCAGCAGAATCTTAAGTGTGGGTTTTGGTGGTTTCAATAGCAACAGGAAGTGGTCACTGGAGGTTTCTGCGTAGCTTTTGAGCAACACTAGAAGCAGTGACCAATGCTGGTTCCCAAATCAGGAGCCTTCACAACCTCTGGAACTTATCTCACCACCAGGCAGGAAATGGCTGGCACTCTCTAGTGTGGAGAGGACAGGGCCATTGAACACACTGGAGGCACTGGGAGAACTCCCAGAAATTGAGTTAGAACTTGAGGAAGAGCTGGAGTTCTCGAAATTATGGATGAGGATGTAGACAGAAAAAGACTACAGGGTGACCACAGTCCTCTCGTCAGAGCTCTTGTCTGGAAAACATGGGTCCCATGAGTCAAGTCTTTGGCATCATGCCTGGCAGATAGCAGGTGATCTGAAAGTCTTGGTCTTTCCCGTACTCGTAGGGATATCAGCTAACTTAAGGATCACTCACCAATTTTTCGGCAGACTGGTGGTCTCTGTTCATTTGCTCTATTAACATCGTCAGCTCTGAGATCTGCTCTTCTAGGTCAGTAATGATATCAGTCCTATGGGATAAGTAGTTCTTTGATCATCCACAGAACTTCTATTTCATGCAAGTCAAGCCTCTTCTTAAGCATGACCAGCTGTGGCCCGCTGAGAGCTGAGCCATGTCCTGCATCTGGTCCACTATCACTGGGGTGGGAAAGGAGGAGTAAAAGGGTGGGGAGAAGGAATTTGGCAGTATGGTAGTTGAGCCTTAAACATGACCTTTTGGGGTAAGCTAGCCAGAATTGAGTGGGATGATTTGGTTGCCTACTGAATAGAAGGGAAAGAGGAATATGTCATAAATCTTTTAGGGTTTGACCTTGATTTAGTAATGATAGTTGAAATGGAAGGGGAAGAATTTCAGATAATTAGGAAATGAAAATTTGAGGAATGAGATTGATGCTGACAATGAATCAGACAAAAAATGTGCCAGAAACTGGATGAGGAGAGAGTTTAGGAGTGGCTTTCAGGCTTGATAAAGGTTTTCTGTGCTTCTGGATCAGGAGCCTCCATGGTATCTAAGATTATTCAGCCCTATTTGGTTGACCTGGAGTAAACAGGGTGGTAGGTCGTGCTGTGTGCAGTGCAGTAGAGAGGAAGTCCTTGGTTCAAGGGGATGAAAGAAACAAAAGGATGTGTGAGGAGAGGGCCTCAAGGCACAAGAAAGAAGAAAGGGTATGAGAAAGAAGAAAGGGTATGAGAAAGAAGAAAGAAGAAAGGTAGATCCTAACATGATCTTCAATACAAACAATACGCAGGGCTTTACCAGGGTATAAAACAAGTATGAACTATTGTATTTTATTATGCCATAACCAGTGACAACTTTCTTATTGAATCCAAGAAGTAGTTGAGGGTGCTGGCTTGACTGTGGGTACATGGCCCATCTCCTCCTGCAGAGGGCCTTGGATGGGTAGAGCAAAGAAAACAGGGCCTGAATGTTCCCACTGGAAGGAAGAGAGAGACTGGAGTCTTTCTCTAGACCAGGTCAGAGGAGGTTGGCTCCACGCATGACCTCTCTCAACAGTGGGCTTATCCCCAGTCTGAATCCCTTCCCACTACTAATGGCTTGGTTGTATCCTTTTTATATGCTTACAAATAGAGAGGTGATTAATCTGTGTGTGTATGTTTTCTGTTATTATTGATCTTTTAAATTTCTGTCTTGAGAAAGTACTTTTCACAGCAATTTAAAGCCCAAGGAAGAGATACTCACTAGGGGGTCATTGCGATAGCGCAGGTAGGAAGTACTAGATGGGAAAGAAGAAGATATGAGAGGCTTCGGAGGTAGAAGATAAAGGATGCGGGGGCTGCTTTTACATAGCATTAGAGGGTAGAGAGTGTGTGGGACTTGAATGACAGAAAGGATGACAGCATATTCAGCTGGGATGGAGTTAGGCCAAAATCTTCTATGCTGCATCTCCCAGAGGGAGAACTAAGTGATACCTTTGGACACAATGAAAAAGGGATGCAGACTTGGGCCTCCCAGGAACCCTGACTTTACTTTTAGTTCTCACCCAACAAATTTGGATTATTTTCTGAATATTTCACCAGTTCACTACTTTCAGGAAAAATTGCTCCCCTTTAGTATGAATCACACTATACCCAGTCATTTTCCAGATCTGTCGGCTGACCTGATCTTTATTCTGCCTAGAATGGGACTGATGGAGCAGAGAGGCAGTGTGGAGAGGAATAGGCATGAAGGGACCTTGCGACACTTCCCGAACAGGGACTCTGAGATTGGGGTGGACATTTGGGGCTTTTCCTTGAGGCCAGGCCCAGCCAGGCAGGAATAGGTCTAAGGAGCTGGATATTGGTCCAAAGACATTACCTGGAAGTTTTGACTTTGTCCATAGTCTCTGATTTCAAATGCTTTTTTCTATCAAACATCTCATCTCCCAAGGTGACAGAAATTTGCTCCCTATTCCGAAACAGGCGATAGCCAGGTGACACGTTGATTACTTCCTGGACATCAAGGTAGAAAGTAAGATAACATTGCAGCATGCCGAGATTCCTCCAAGTCTACTAGTTCCCTACTCACATCTAAAAACAGAGACGGGATGGGAGTCCAGCGCTCAAGTCCTTCCTGTACCCTCTCCAAGTTACCATTCGCCTTTGTATCTCTAGATTTCTTTCCTGAGATCCAATCACAACACTCAACTGGATCCAAAACCTAACTGTTGACACCCACTCCGCACTTCTCACCCAGCTCTGTCCTCCTCTATGTTCTCCGCAGCTGAGTATTGTGGAAATCAGTCAGTTTTTAAAATTAGATAGGCCTGAGTTTAAATCCTGACTCTGCCTCCAACCATAGTTATTCAACATCTCTGTGCCCCAGTTTCCTCTTCAGAAAATAAGGATAATAACTCCCTCAAAAGGATTTTGTGAAAATAATACAAAATAACCTGTGAGAAAATGCTTAGCACAGTTACAAACAGTATTTTTTTAGTCAGTTCTTCCTCTGTTCCCTGCTAGATGCCCTGGGCAGGCCTACTAGCTGTCACAGACACACATAGGACTGTGCCTTCTAGAGTTGTGCAGAATAGCCCTGCAGGATACAAGACCTGCCATTGTTATCTCCTAAATGTTCCTCATCTTCATTCTGTCCTTCCATACTCCTGGCCCAGACAGCCTGAGGCCACCACCATCTGTCTCTTCAGCTCTGGGGATACTTCCCCAGTGAACCTCTCTGCTTTTAGTCTGGCTCACCTAAATTCACCATCCTTTCCATCTGGAGGGCTATGAATATATTTGTTTATTTTTTTCCTTACCATTAAGGGATTACATGATCCTTTTCTAAGGGGGTTGGGGGAGAAGGAAAAAAATAGATAAAAGCACAAAGTAGTAAAAAGCACCAATTATATCCTACCCAAGGGTATTTTTTTAATATATAAATAAATCTTACCTTGTCGCATGCATGTGTCAGACCAATAAAAGCTCCATGCATCAAAAGGATTGGGCCCACACTTCTAGACAGGTGTCAAGATCCCTCAGGGTTTGGTCCCATCTCTTTTTCCAAAACCTCCTGCTCCTCCGCCCCTCAATTCCTTGATGGCCCCTAGCCCAGCATTTGCGGATTCCGATGCGCAGCAGAGGGCTCCCTGCATCTACACATGAGCTGTCCCCTGGCCTGGACTGACTGCCACCATCTGTTTTCCCTGGGATACTCTCCTTGCCTTACACAAGGTAGTAAACAGGTCATTAAGCACTCCCTCTGGGGTCTGGCTGAGCCAAGTCCAAGTCCTGGTTCTGATGCTTAGCAGCCACACACTATAAGAAGGGCACAGCACCTCCTCATAGGATCATTGCAAAGATTCAATGAGGTGAATGCATGTAAAGGACCCATGCCTGCACACAGTAGGTACTCAATAACTGTTAATCCCACCACCCTCATCCCACTTTTACTCACATAAGGGAAATTATTGCTCTCCTCTTGTTTTCCTAAATGGGTTTTCACTCTGTAAGAGAAAAGCATGCTCAGAAGCAACCGAAGAGCAGCGAGAAGTTCCAAGCTCAGGAACTTCTGTGTCCTGACCCCACCACTCCTCTGTAAAAAGTGTCATTCCTGGGATGATCTTTGAGGCCTGTTTCAGCTCTCAAAATATTATGGTTTAGGAATTAGAGAATATTTAATGGTCCAGAGATCATTGGTACACAGGTTGTGATAAAATGGCAGGTACTAAAAAAGTGGGAAATTGACTAGTCACTAGTCTAATAGTAGAACCATTCCTAAAATAAGGACCAAGAGACTTGGAGTGAAGATCCAAAGGGCTCTCCTAAGAGGGTGGTGCATAATCTTAAACACACACATTTTTTAATGACATGTACATTGTCTGTACAACTGCCTTTCTTCTCATTTGTACCAGGATTTGGTGTTCTGGGACCCTGAAGTAGCCAGTTAAGTTAATTCAGGATAAGCAAAGTATTACAATTTTGAGATCTGGTGCTAACCCTGATTATAATGAATGTTTGTTTTCAGGTACAGAAACATGAGTATAATATCAGGGATTCAAATACCAAAAGACTATTTATAAGGAATTTCATCTAGAAGTTTGAAAGATTAGAATAAGAGTAACTACCTTATGATGTGCTGACAAAAATAGGTAGGTCTATGTATATGATGCTAGGGCCTCTCCCCTTGGCCTCAACATATACTCACACATGTACACATACCACTGGGCAGTAGCTGTGAAGACAGACAACTGAAACCTGTTCTAAAAGTTCCATTTACCCATGATCAAAACTCTGGCTGTGGTGAGTGGGGTTGGGAGGACATTTCCTGTGGAAGCAGTTCCATCTTGGTTAATACCCATCAGTCTGGTTTAGCTCCCACATCTCCCACCCCTACAGGAGGCCTCCGGGGAGGCACTCAGGACTCTCTTGAGAAAACCATTCCAAGGATTTGGCTACCTTAGATGTGACCACCAACCTTTGAGTTTAGCTTTCAATGGCAAAAAAAGAAAAGTTTCTGTGTGTTAAAAAATGGGCATGGGTGCGGAATATATATTTATAATACAGTGAGGTCCACATGTAATTTAAGAATTAAAACCATTTAAAATGCAACTTAAATCAACCATTTGTTCCCAATTCAATGGTCCCCAAAGATAACTTGGTCTGTTTCCTCTGAATTTAGGAAAGCCTTGTTGGAAACCACTGGGTCTCTTTAAAAAGCAGACCATGGATTTGAGTTTATGTCCTTTTTTTTTTTTTTTTTTTTTTTCGCTCTTAGTAAATCTCATTGAGCAAACTGAAACTTTCCACAGCATTGCATTAACTTTAGAATTTCTGGAAGGGTAGGAATGTGACTATATAGATATTCATTTTGTTAGATAACTGTATTTTTCTCATTGAAAAGTAAAAGGTAAGAACGATCCAGAATAACTCATCTTTCTTTACTCTTTCTGTTCTTGTCAACCTGTTACTCAGATTACTCAAATTATACTGACCAAATTTTGACACTTTGTTGACATCAATCAACATTTGCTCATTTAATAAATTCAATGAGTGGTTAATATATGCAAACCACGGTGCTTCATACCAAGAGAAATGGAATGAGTTTATGAGAGAAAAAGGCACATAAATACTGGAAAAAGAAGCAGAAAAAAAGTTAAGTGCCAGAGAGAAATGCAAACAAAGTGATTTGTTAACTGTGTCTGTCAGGTGTTGAGAGTGCAGAGCTACTGCCATTTTTCAAGGCTCCTGATATCATAAAAAAACAAAAACAACCCCCAAGAATTGCTGAAACAGTGTTAACAACAATTGAGTTATATCTCATGTTTAAGAATTAAAAACTTTTGATACAAAAAGCATATTATATGTTTGCAAGAAAATTTGAGAATTCACAAAAAGGATGTAATTCAGAGGGCTGAGATGGCATGTTTGAGGACAGAGACCCAAGTTAAGAGTTGATTGGTGAGCAGTTTCTTCCTGTGTTCATTTGGAGGTCATGTCAACAAGTACCTGAGCCTCTTCCCAAGAGTGAGGGCAGAAGCAGCAGGCCCTCCTGTGCCTGGCTGCACCATTTCCCTTCCCAAGTGCTGTCTAGGCAGGACTTGGAGGCTGGCCGACATGGAGTCCAGGACAGCCTACACTGACCAAGCGTGTCTTCTCTGAATTGGTTTTAGAAGATGGCAGGGAGTTTGCCTTGAAGGGCCTACTGGAAAGTCATAGATACAATCAGCAGGTCTTTGATAGAGAATTTTAAAAACACCCACTAAGTTTTCCTCACTATGTTGCAAAGACAGAGGAGGACAGTATTGGCAAGGGTTAACGTTGGCAGCCAAAGTTGGAGCTGTGGGTATTAGTGAGTTCTCTCCCAAAAGAGACACTGGGTGACTGAGGCCTTGAGCTTGACTATTAAAATGGAAGTAGTATAAGATCCACAGGTATGATCATGCAGGCAGGGTGTCAGCACATAGAAGGCAGAAAATAGGGAATTGTTTCACTCATACACAGGATCCCTTAGAATCCCTTGTTATGAATGGATCCAATTCCCATCAAGCTTTGCCAATACCACTCCACTGAGACAATTTCCTTTGCTGTCACCAAAATGCAGGCTACTAAATCCAATAGTACTGCCCAGGCTTCTTCTTAATTGACTAGCAGCAGTTTTTAACACAGATAATTCGACCCTCTGTCTTTGAATATTTTTATCTTTTGCTTCCAGGACACTAGATAGATGATTCTTCATCTGTCTCCCTGGCCACTCCCTCTCAGTGTCCTTTTTGAATCCTCTTGTCTCTCCCACCTTTCAACAGGAGTGCTCTGGGGCTCAGTTCTCCTACCTCTTCCTACCACTATCTCCACTCCCTGCCTTGGACATCTCACCTGGGTGCAGGCTCTGAGCACCACATGCTGATGACTCTTGAATGTGTATCTGTAGTCCAGACCTCTCAGATCTGCTCACCCAGATGCTTACTTGACATTGTCACTTGGATATTAAGAGGTATTTTGAACTTCCTAAGCTCAATGCCCTACATAGGTGCACCTCCTGGAGTCTTTTCCAATCACAGAAAATGGCAACTCCACCTTTCCTATCACTCAGCCAAAAATTCTGAAGTCAGTTTTGACTCTTTTTGTTTTTTCTCATATTTTTTACCCATACCATTAGCAGATCCTATTGGTTTGTACCTTCAGAATGTGTCCAGAATGCAATCACTTCTCACTACTGTTTCCACCAGGTTCAGTCACCATCATACCTTGCTTGGGTCCCTGCAATTAGACCTCACTGGGGTCTACACCTTGGCTTCTCCTAAGGCTTCTATGCTTGGCCTGCAACACTCCTCATTCTTAATGCAGTAGCCAGATTAGTCTTTCCAAAAATGCAAGTTGGATCATGTCACTCTTCTTAGAATCTTCTGATAGCTTCCCAGCTGTTAAGGTCTTAGTTGTGTTCCCACACCCCCAAATTCATACATTGAAGCCCTAACCCCTGGTATCTCAGAATATGACTATTTGGAGATAAGGTCCTTAGGTAAAATGAGGCCATTGGGATGGGCCCTAATCCAATCTTAATGGTGTTCCCATAAGAGAGACAAAGACACAGAGAGACCCCGGAGATGCACATGTACAAAGGAAAGAACATGTGAAGAGGCAGCAAGCAGGCAGCCATCTTTAAGCCCATGAGAGAGTTCTGAGAGGAAACCAACCTGCTAATACCTTGGTCTTGGACTTCCGGGCTCCAGAACTGTGAGAAAATAAATTTCTGTTGCTTAAGCCATCCAGCTTTTTGTTGTTGTTGTTGTTGTTGTTGTGGCAACACTAGCAGCTGATACAGCATCCTTTTTAGAGTACAAGCCAAAGTCCTTACAGTAGCCAGCAAACTTCACTGTATAAATTTCATATTGCTGCTATAACAAATTACTGTAAGTCTAGTGGCTTTAAACAATACCAATTTATCTTACAGTTTTAGCGGTCAAAATGGGCAATGGTCTTACTGGGCTGAACTCAAGGTGTTGGGAGTATTTTGTTCCTCCTGTAGACTCTAAGAGAAAATCTGTCCCTTGCCTTTTCCTCCATCTTCAAAGCTGGTAGTTGCATCACTCCGGCCTCTTCTTCTATTGCCACATCTCTTCTGACACTTTGACTTCCTCTTTCACTTATAAGGACCCTTATGTTTATATGAGGCCCAGCTAGGTAATCCAGGATAATCTGTCCACCTCAAAGTCTGCCGTTTAGCAAACATAATTCTATTTGCAATCTTAATTTCCCCTTGGCAAGTAGCAGAACATGGTCACAGTTCCCAGGGATTAGGATATGGACACCTCTGGGGGACCATTATTCTACCAACCACATTAATCATCTCTTATTTCTCTGAGCCTATCTCCCAACCACTCTACCCTGACTTTCTCCATTCCAACCACACTGGCCTCTATGCTTTCCTGGAATAGGCCAGATGTGCCAAGCAAGCTCCCACTCATAGCCCTTGGCCTTGCTGCTCCCTCTGCCAGGAGTACTTGGCCCAGATGTCAGTGTGGCTTCTGCTGTCCCATTTACAGAGGGACTTTCCCTGATCTCCATACATAAAATAGTAACTGTAAGCTCCAAGAAAGCAGAATCTTTGTTGTGTTCACTGATGTTCTCCGTACCTGAAACACTGCTTAGCAAATAAAAGATGCTCAATACATGTTTTCCAAATAAATAAATGAATGGAATACAGAGACTCATGTAAGACACAAAACTAAGTCCCACTTCTGAGTTTATAAAATATGGGCAAAATTTTAAATTTATATGTAAAAAGAGTTATAATTTACATAAAACCTTAGACACAGGAAAGTAATCAGTAAAAGGATAAACACCATTAATGGGAGGCCTTTTGTCTGTGACAGGCATCATGAATTGTGACTTTTAGGGCAGGAAACTGTTGTCAGGGCACCTCAGATGAGAGCTCATTCAGATGAGAGCTCATGTGTAATGATTTTGAATGCTGTCGGTACAGCTGGCCATAGAATCTGTATGTAGGATCTGAGGTTTGGGGGAAATTACAGTGGGTTCTGGCAATTCTCTGATCTTCCTGGCATCAATTAGTTCAAGTTAAGCAAGGGTGTGAAGGCTCAGGAGAGACTGTTTTATTCACATAATTCAAACCATTCCCACCCCATGGACGTGCAAATACTTACCTTGGGAAGACAGTAGGTTTTGTTGTTGGTTGGATATAATTTTGGTTTTCTGAAGCTGGAGAAAGAAGAGTTGGCCTAAAAGGAAAAAATAAATAGCAAAAAAAGAGAAAATTGAAAATCTGGAAACCTGTTTTAGGACTCCCAGATTAGGTAGATCGCACAGTGACCCAAAATTGGAATACATGGGCTGACAACAGAGAGCTGAATGCCTTGGCACTTGTTCACTGTTCTGGGGGGTCCTGGGTTGGCAGTACAGCTTGTCCTCCAGTTTCCAAAGCTCTTTGTTCCTCATGGAGGGGTAGCTGCCATGGGGCCCTTTGGTTGGGAGCCCCCCTTTCTCTGCTCAACTAACTCTGAGACTCCCTCATTTAAAATTACACGAAACCTAGGCAGGACTGGCAAGAGCAATGTGCAGCTAACAGGCTGGCAGGGAAAGCTGTGCAAAGCTAGGCTTCCTGACCCTCTTGGGAATTTTGCTACTAAATTGTTTTGGAAATCTTATGAAAGAAAGAGGGCTGCAGATGGACCCCAAGCTCCCAGGCCATAGTCTAGCCCAGGTAATTCTTACTTGGGCTTCCCTGTGGAGGTCTTTCTTGGTGGCTGAGGGGTCTTGATTAGCTTCCGTGGTCCCAAGTTCCAAGGGTCCCAGCAGGTGCAGTAGATGAGAGGGCTGGGGTACATGGCAGGAGTATGGGGCAGTTTTGGCTGCTAGGTCAGGAGACCTTTGCTGAATTAGGGGAGCAAAAAATGGAGAGTTACATCATTTAGAGTCAAAGTAACAATATTTAGAGACAATTGGGAAAAACCCAGGGAAGGCTCAAAGCACGGATAGTAGATTCTGGAAGCCATTGATCTGGTACAGCACCTTGACTATAGAATCACACTTCGCCCTTGATCTGGGACAACGTCTTGACTATAGAATTACACCTCCGCCCTTTACCATCCAGTAGGCTTGACTTGAAAGTAATTTAAAACTTGCCGTAACTGAGTGCTTACTGTGAGCCAGGCACACAATAAGTAATAGATTATTCTTATCCCAATTTTACAGGTGAGGATACTGAGGATCAGAGAGGTCATAGAGGTAGCAAGCTGCAGAGTTGGGAACAAATGGAAGTCTACCTGACTCCTAATCCCTTGTTCTTCCATCGGGTCACACGAGCTCTCACTAAAGTAAAGAGAAATCTCTGCAGCAGTTCCTGCACAGAACTTTCTGGAAAATTAGTTCTGTTACTCAAATTAAACTGGATCTCCCAGTGTTTCATTCCTGGCCACCTGCCTGAATCACAGTCAAAACTCTTTCTTCTTGGCTCCACAAAAAAACCCCCCAAAAATCCCTGTTAAGAATTTTGGCATGAAAAACAACTACCAGATAAACGTGATCACACTTGATCACGTTTATCTTTTTCTTTCCAGAACCCCACTAACATGAGAGTGCAGGATTAAAAGAGGTTTCATGTCATAAGAACAAAGAGAATGGGAGAGGAGACAGTATTGTGGAAGTGATGTCAATACACATTTGGCACAATAACTTCCTCATTTAGCACACCATAAAAAGCTACAGCCTATGTTTATGAACTAGAAAGAGCCAAATCTCATGTAAAAGACTCTATAAGACTCAGAACTTGACCCTGGTAAATCATCCGGTGATAGTAATAGGCATCTCACAGATCCGTTGGAGTCTGTGGTAGGTCAAATAATGCTCTTTCTCCCACCCCAAAAATCGATGTTCTAACCCCTGGAACCCATGAATATGTTACTTTTTTGTTCCGAAGGAACTTTACAGCTATGATTAAGTCAAGGATCATGAGATGGGGACATTATCTGGATTGTCAGCGAGAGCCCAAAGTAATCACAATCACAAGCGTCCTTATAAAAGGAACGTGGGGGAGTCAGAGCCAGTAAAGGGTCAGGTAGGAGTGAGGAGGAAAGGGTCATGAGCCAAGGAAAGTGGTCAGCCTTTAGAAACTGGAAAAGGAAAGAAAATGATGATTCTTCCCTAGAGGTTATAGAAGGAACAAAGTCTTGTCAACACCTTGATTTATAAGATAATAAATTGGTGGTGTTTTAAGCCACTACATTTGTGGTAATTTGTCAGAGTATTTGTAAATGAAAAGAAAAAAAAAAACCAACAACACAGAAAATTTAGTGAAAATTAGCAATAGAAACATAGAAACCTAAGAAAAGAAAAGTTGTATAATTACTCCAGGTTAAAAAAAAAAACTGTATAAGAAAGCAGATATAATCATAGTAAGGTGCACACACACACACACACACACACATATATTTAAACACATAATACTGATTTAACAAAAACATGATTTGTGACCACAACTGTGGGGAGGGTAATAAGAGGAGAAAGAATGTGTGAAACCCTCATCTATCATAGCAGGAAGTCAATAAAGAACATATAAAATTGAAAAATTAACAAACAGATTAATTATTTAGAAGTATAATGTTAAGTTCCAAAGAAATAGCTTAAAGAGGTGAAAATAATTGCCTCTCGGGAAACTCTAGAGAGCACACTGAGGAGCAGAACTAAGAGGGGTGGGGAAGAAACTGCAACTTTTCATTAATGAATTTTTAACATGATTTGATTTTTGAATGTCTATGGATTATTTGATAAAAATTAAAACACCACAAAAAAATGCTATGAGAGCCAAGAGACCAACAGGCAATACAACAACGGATTTAACTCAAATTTTGAAGTCAGTGACTGGTTTCTATTAGTTCATTGGAATAAATTTTCTTAAGAATCAGCCGAAAAATGAAACGAACCTTTTTCTCTAATGTGACTAATGCTTGAGAAACCCAGTTACAGCTAAACGGGACCTTAACATTAAACCATTTTACAGGTGAGGAAACTGATACTCAAAGTCATGGATGCCTACACATTCTCACTTAAGAGCATAAATACTTACAGCTCCTGCTGTGAGTACCATGCTAGATGCTGGGTACTGAACACTTGCACCTTGCTCTCAGAAAGCATGCAGGTACTAGGGTAGTCTCAGAAAGGGAACTAAGTGAACTGTGGAACCAGGGCAAGAGACAAGGCCTTGAAGAAAGGCAGGAAGTGCCAGTGGTCTGGGCCCAGGGTATGGTGTGGAGTAGAGGTTAGGGCTAGAAAGGAGGCCAAGAGTCTGGGTAAACAGCAAAGACCTAAATATCAGGTGATAGGGCTGCCAAACCCAGCTGTTTGTGCTCCCCTGTGTTTGGCGCCCTAGCCAGGAGATCTCAAGGAGATGAGGTCAGGGAAGCAGACGGGATGGAGCACCCCAGGTGAGAAGACAATGCCACAGGGGTTAGAATTGAGGTGACAATCTGAAAGGATACTGCAGCACTAGCAAGAGAGTAGCTTTGCTTCTGCTTAGGACCTGGTATCTGCTTCCTGTGAGGACAGGGGCCGATTCTGAGGCAGGAAGTGACAAGTGAAGGCAGGCCAGCTCCCAGTAACCAGCTGCCTTCCCTATTCCATTTCTTGCCTGCCCATCTGGACTGCGCCATTCCTGAAGGCCTGGACTTCACCACGTCATTCTCTGTGCCCCCACGGGGCCCTGGCAAGGCAACTTGTCTGAAATGCCTACTAGATAAATATTTGTTGCTGAATGACAAACTGGGTGATTATCATCACAGGGACTAGCTCAACAAGGAGAAACTAATCCACAGGTGAAACTGCAAAAATGTAACGGTCACTACATTATAAAAAACATTAGAAATTTGAATTATAATAGGCCGGTGGACCACCTGGGCCGCCGACAGGGCCTAGGGACCGCCCACATCCGACGTGCCCGCGGCGGCTGCGAGCGGCGCGTAGCAGAACTCAAAGGTCCTTCTAAAGCTGCGCCTACGGGCCCTGGGCGTGGAGGAGTGGCTGCTCCAGTCCCGCCACTAGATAGATACAGTTCAGGAACTGCCGCAGGGCCCGCCACTTTGGCTATCCCGACTCGCTCTGGCCCCGGGGCGCGGTCTTGCGGGTCTGCGCAGGCGCAGGCCTGCAGCGCACGCACCTTTTTTCCGCGCGCACGTCGCGCAGCGCGCACGTTCTTTTGTGGGACCGGTTCGGGATCCCCTGAAGCACCTCGTCAGCTGGAGGGCATGGCTGGCCTTGAGAGTGGTAGGGCTAGTGAGAGGGCGCCGCGCGTACGCCCTCCTGGAAGGGAGCGTGGTGTGGAGAAGGGTGGCAAAAATAAATAAGAACAAACACAATGCTACAATCACTCAATGGAATTTTTTGCATAGATTTTAATTTACCACTTGAAAGCCTGTGGAAACATGAAGACGTGCTCATGCACAGATATTAAGTGTAGGCAGTGGATACAATTATGTAAAACAATATACCTACACGGAAAAGGGTTAGAAAAGAATATATTAAAAAGTGAAAATTAAATCGAGCTAGAATGTCAGAGTTATGATTTTTTTCCTCAACATTGTTTACTTAAATTTTCCTTGGGCTTTGGGGTCAGGTGGCCCCAACTTTGCATACAGGCTCCTCTGTTTACCAGCTGTGGGACCTCAAGAAATTAACTTTTAGTTTCCTGAGTCTCAGTTTCCTAATCTGGAAAATGGGCACATGGGAAGTCAGTCCCTACTGGGCAGTCCTGCACGCGAAATGAGACTATATCAGCAAAGCTCTTGGCACATTGCCTTGCACACATTAGGTTCTCAAAAACTGTTAACTGAGTTTAGAAATATAATGAAACTCAGTGGTATTTTGTTTACAATGGAAGCTTTTATTTCTAATTTTTGGGGGAGAATAGGTTTACTTTGTGTGTGTGTTAAATAAAATAGGCAAATTGTAAAGAAAATTATAATCTGAAGGAAGTAAAATTTATCCAAAATACTAACACCTAGAAAAGACCGCTGAAAATACTTTGGTTAGTGTCTTCTAGAATGGTCTCTAGTCTAAAGAATAGATTTACATAATTGTTCATACACAGGAACGAACTCTACATTCTAGTAGATAATCTTTCAGTAATGTCATGAGGTTCTTTGAAGGTAACTATACATACATCATCTTTAAACTTGATTACTGTGGAGAAATTTTTAAATGTACAAAAGTAGAGAAAAGAGTATAATGAACTCATGGATCACCTAGCTTCAACAGTTAGCAATTTGTGACTAATCTCATTCTTATGTACCCAGCCCATTTCTCCAACACCAGGTTATTTTAAAGCAAACTTAAAACAAATCTATAATTTACATTATGCTTAAAGAAAATCTTTAAAGCAAGTCTGTGATTTGTTTCTATATCATCATGACTTAATTTATGTTTTTGTTTACATTTTTGTCTTTCATTGTTTTCTTTTTAAATTTATTTTTATATTTTTTTGTAATTTTTCCTTTGCTTTTTTCTTTCATTTTGTTTTGTATTTTCCCCATTTATATTTTTAACCAGGTTTGTATTGATGAAAGTTTTGTTGCCTTTTTTTCCTATTATAAACCATGCCATGGTGTATATTCTTTTGCTCAAAAAGTAAAGGCTTCTCCCTCCAAACACCCATGAGGATGATACTCAAAATACTTACCAACCATGAGACAAGTTTATCACACAATCTGAATAGATATGGGGTTACAAGGCTGTTAGAGGGTCCTGGAGGACTCTACTTCTACCCTTGTGCTAGGCATTAACCCCTTAGTTGCTGAATCATGAGGAAATCTGGAGGGCCGAAGGGAGGACTTGGGCAACCCAGGTGGCAGGGAGGACATTTGAGGGTTTCGGACAATGTATACTTATAACTAGTATGGCAGTATTTCATTATTTCAGTAACGTGCGTACCAAGTCAACATCAGCCTTCGACTTTCAGTACTCTCCCAAGAAGTAACCACTGTTAGTTTTTTTTAGTATCCTTCCAGAAATTATATATAACGTATAGATAAGACCTTTCATGTCTTTACATAAATGAAAGCATACTTTACTCCCTATGCCATACCCTGCACTTTTTGCATGAGAATGTTTCCATATTAGCATCGATAGATCTAATACCTTCACAGTTGCTTGGTATTGCATTGTATGGCTCTAGGAATATAAGAATGCATGTGTGCGTGTGCACACATGCATGTGTGATTTAGGATTTTTTCACCCCATTATTGTCTTTCTTCTCCCTGCTGGTTTTACCTGTGGCTGAGTGGACTGAAAGTGCCACCTGGTGGTTATCCGTGAGCCAGCTGAGGCTTCAGAAAGGTCACTGGTTAGTATTAATAATCCAAAGAAAATAATTATATAAAACATTTTTTCCAAAGAGCTTACCTTGGACTGCCCAAAGATTTGTTTTTCCCATATGGTTTCTTCCCACATCCAGAGTCTTAAAGACAACACAGTGGTATAGAGAATTTGTTTTCCATCAATACAAAATCAGAATTCATTTTAGGTCAAATCCAGAGGTTCCAGAATTTAAGACTTCAGTGGTCATTCCAAGTGACTGAAATTCCAAAGCAGAAATTGCAGAGTATGTGCAGTGTAGAGAGACAGACTTCCAGTGAATCCAGTCACAAGCTTTTAAAAAGCCTGAACTGGCATGAGCACAAATGTCCGTTCAAAAAGAATGGACATTTTAGTCTTTCAATATTACAGTGAAAGCCTAAGTAGGGGAGAAAGTCACTCATACATTCAGACTTTCTTGACTGGGGCCTTGAGTTGTGAGGGTTGTCCTTGGTAGAAAATTGGCAAAGGTTTGTTTCTTTTATTGCTATGGAAACAGAATGGCAGCACCTCATTTGCTCAGGCACTCTGCTCTTACAGAGAGGAGACTGAAAGGACAGCCAGTTAACAAACTCTCAAGATGTAAGACAAAATACACTTAAGGTATACTTTCAGAGAAAATAGAATTAACCAGTACACCTAGGCTTAATTGGCCTGTGGCAGTAGTTGCCAGATAGAATCTGTGATGGAGTTAAAGCTTCTGTCATTTGCCCACAGAACCCTAAAACTCTGAAGTGGACACTTTCTTCCTTGAATTTCAAGCTTTGAAATCTGTAAAAGTGCAAATCCCCAAGACTAGGAGTCTTTTTCAGTTACTGAGAGTTCAGACTTTTTTTCCTAAATAAGGCCATTTTTCTCATTATAGAAAAAAATGCTGCTTACAGACCAGTGGCTTTCATTTTATTTTACAGAAACTCACCATAAGAAATAAACTTTACACATTTTATAATAAACAGTTGTATGAAGTAATACCCTTGTTACATACTATTCTCATCTATTCTTTTTCTTTTATTTAAAATGAAAGCTGATTATAAATCCACTAGATTGATTTCATGATCCACTGATGGGTTACAACCTATAGTTTACAAACACTGTTTACAAATTCATCCATTCATTCTACTCCACATTATTATTTACTGCATGCTAGGCACTTGTGAAGTGTGGGTATATACGAGGTCTGTCCAGAAAAAGTTCAGCCATTAATATAACAAGAATGACCTGCATGAAACCTATGTAACCTGAAGCCAAGGAAGGTGGACTGGAATGCACATGTGTGAACAATGATGACTTCACTGTACTAGTCAATGGTGGCAGTAGACCCCGCTGAGTGAGCATGTGCACTGTGTGGCCATTGCATTCAAAATGACCAAGTGAGGACAGCAATGAAAATGCATCAAATTTTGCATTAAGCTTGTACATTCCTCCGTGGAAACTATTCGAATGATTCAGAAGGCTGCAGCTATGAGCACCTGGTGATGGGCAACTGGTGATTGGCAGCTTCATGATGACAACACACCCACTCATTAACTACATCTCATGCAGAGTTTTTTGGTGAACATCAAATCACCCGGGTGACTCAGCCCCCCTTACCACCCAGATTTGGCACCCTGCGACTCCTGGCTTTTCCTAAAACTAGAATCACCTTTGAAAGGAAAGAGATTTCAGACCATCAACGAGATTCAGGAAAATATGGGGGAGCAGCAGATGGCAATTGGGAGAACTGAGGACTGAGGCATCATTGTCCTATGTACAATGTTTCTTGTATCTTCTTCCGTAAATGTCTTTTTCATAGTGCATGGATGGATACTTTCTGGACAGACTTCGTGCTCCACAGAGCTTCAAGACTAGTGGGGGAAACACAATAAATTGAATAAAAGCACAATGGAGCCTACATTAAGGTCCTTACCAGATGCAGTGGGAATGTATGGCAGGAATTTATAATCTAATGAGTCGGAAAACAGTTTTAATCAGAGAGGGGATCTGACTGGTTTTGCATATTAGAAAGATCATTTTGACTGCAATGTAGAGAAACAATTAGAGGGGCCAAGATAGGAGGCAAGGAAACCAGTTTAATGGTCAAATGAGGCACAATGGTGGCCTTAAATTGAGGGAGTAGCAGTGGGATAGAGAGTAGAGTATGCAATAGGACTTGATGATCAATTGGATGTCAGGATGAGGGAAAGGAGGAGGCAATGATTCCTTGGTTTCCAATTTAAATAATTGAGTAGATGGTGGTGCCATTTACTGAGATGGGAGAGTCTGGGGGATAAAGAGGCTCAGGAGAGTAGAGCCCCATTTCAGGCTTGGACATGTTGAGTTTGGTTGGAAGGGAGACATTCAAGTAGTAATGTCTATTACATGTCTGGGAATTCCAAAGAAGAGTCTGGGCTAGAAACACTTTAGGGGTCTTCCGAGTACATATTTAAAAGCTAAAGGAATGGGTGAGATCACACAGGGAAAGGGTGTTGTGTGAGAAGAGGGTCTAGAACAGAGCCCTGAGGAAAACCAAGATTGCTCAAAGCGTAGGCCATGTGTAGGTTAAAACATGTACTACTATCACCTCGATGAAAGTGGCTCAAATCAAAGAGGCTCATTAAGTTCATGAACTACAAAGTATGGAGGCAGTGTTATGAGCGTTGAGGCATATTCAGCTATGTCATTGAGGAGCTGGGTTTTTTCCATTTTTCTGTCACGCCAACCTCAATATGTTGACTGAGCGCAGTCGTGGTTGTGTTGGCAGAGGTGAGTGGCACCAGATGTTAGGTGGGTGGAGGCAGACAGGACCTTTGTTTACAACCTTTGTACTTGAGTTCTGGCTAGGAAAGAATTTGGAGCCAAGATGCAAACTATAAGAGAAAGCTTATTTAAAAAGTCACTGAGATAGAAGAAGTGAGCAGTAGAAGAAACGAGCTCAGGAAACAAGTTACAGAGGCAAAGGAAGGGGCCCTTGGAGCTTAGGTGAGAGAAGGGTAAATGTAATGTGTTGCGGGGCGGGGTGGGGGGGTGGATGGGGGAAAAGGAGGGGGATGGGAAAGGCAAGCTCCCAAGGGGGAAAGTACGCTGGGTCCTCCATCCTAAGGGCTTTTAAGGGTGGGGATTTCAGGGGAGGTCGCAGGGGAGGATCTCAATAGAACATTCACCAGCTTTTCAGATGCGCCCTTTCAGGGTTGGGTCTCCAGTGATTGGTGGGTGCCAGGGCAGGGGGTCATTAGTCAGTGCAGCTGGTCCTGATGGCAGCCATGGCATCACTTCTATGGTTTTGCTGTTTTTTGGGGCTTAGAGCTGAAACACAACTAAGGCCTAAATGTTATCCCTAGGGGTTAATGCTTAAGGGAGTGACTGCAAGGACCCATATGGGAATGACATGAGACCATCCTCTGGTCCCTTATTCCTCCTCCAAGGGGGTCTACCACATGATTAGCAACATGCCAAGGGAGGAAAGGTCAGGGGAGAGTCTGAATCACATAACCAGTGATATGAAAGTTCAGGGGGTCTAAACTGCATGACCAGCAATACACTAGGGGAGGAAAGGTTACCCTGGGGGTGAGGTCCTTGTTTTCCCAGTTTTGCCCATTGCAGGGCACCTGGGGCTTTCCATCCTGGTGCCTTTCTGTATCTGCACCGTTGTCCTTGCTCTGCTCATGTATGTGTAACTGCTACCACAGCTGCACTGTGGCTGTCACAACTGCAAGCGCCAGGAGCAGGTTAGATGGAGACAGACCAAAGCTAGAAGGAAGGGAAGGAAGTTAGGAAGAGAACAATGGATAGATTTGACTAGTCATCTAGTCAAATCCATCTCCAGCTAGAGATTGAGTATTTACTTTGTGTCTGTTTATTGTGTTAAATTTTATGTTTAAATGCTCTCATGATTTAAAAAGAGCAGGATTTCAGTCTTATGTGATCATCGGCTAAAAACAAAGATACAAGTGTCCTGAAGGAAAACCCAGCCACTTGACCTCGCCAAGGCTTAGCACTAATTACTACTACTTGGAGGGGTTTTTTTTTCCTTCTTTTTCTCATTTTAGTCATTAATAGAACTACTTGGAGGTTTTTTTTTTTCCTTCTTTTTCTCATTTTAGACATTAATAGAACTCTAAATGGCAGAGGGGAAGGAAATAAAGCCTTTTAGGGGCTAAGTGCAAACTGCTCTTCTCTTTGATTGAATTTAGGGAAATTCTGGTATTGCATTAAAGGTTCGTTTTTTTCCAAAGACCCAGAAAGAGGACTGATGCTACTAACATTAGTGATTTTGCTAAGAAAGCAAGAAAAATACATTTTAGGAAATAATACTTTGATGTTTATAATTTGGCTCTTTTGTATTTTTCTCTTATCTCACATCTCCTTTGGTGCACTTTACTCATACTTTCTTACATTAAAGAACAAAAAAAACCAAACAAACACTTCATGTTATTGCTGGTAACACTGCCTTATATTTTGTAGCACCTTTACCGAACATGCACATTTGTTCATTTGAAAATTTTATGGCACTTGGCTCTTATTTTTTTAAAAAATAGTGGAAAACAAAACTTGATACTAGCACAACTCAAACTTAATAAAAACAGAGATGGAAGTCAATATGATGCTGAAAGCATCAAATCTTTACCCTCATCAGAAGATTATTGGACTGACTTTGTATATCTACTGAGAATGGTTTGTGAAAGAAAACACAATTAAAGATGCTGGAAGTATCACTAAATAGTCTGTCAAAGACGTAGAGACTCATATTTCATTTAGTCCTCACAAAATGTTCACAATCCTAAATGGATATTAAATGAATTTTAAAAATATACTGCAACTAAATTGTGGCAAAGAGAACATCAAATAACTTTTTCTACTGTATCTACTAAATTTTCAAATTTTGTTGCTTGGAAAGTTTCTAGATAGCTAAAAATTGCTATTAAACTAAAGGGATCCGTTGGCCTGTGCACATCAAAGCCCAGTAAAACATGAATGGGAGTTTCCAGGAAAGAAGGTATGCATTTATTTTTAGGAAGTGGCCCAGGCTCGGAGCCACAGGTGAGCTAATGTTCAAAGACCTGGCTCCCGAAGGGTTTCCGGGAGATGTGTTATACAGGGAAAGATCATTAATCATGATGACTAAGGGAGTTAGGGTTATGGTCTCTACCAGTGGTCAACACTAGGGTAAGGGGTAGTTAGTTGATCAGTAGCTCTGGTCCTGATGGCAGCCATGGCCTTGCTTTGTCTGGTTTTGCCACTTTTCTGGGCCTGGAGCTGAAACAAAACAGAGGCCGAGATATTATCTCTACTTTGATGGAAACTCTTGTCTCTGAGGTCACTCTTGTTCCTAAGATTATTTGATGCTGATCAGAATCTCATTGTTCTGAGGGCTTAATGGTTAAGAAAGTGGACAAGTAAGGCAGGAGGAAGCAGGTGAATCAGATGCTTGATGAGGCCAGTTTAGATGGAAAGAAGGGAGAAAATATCTGTTAAAGAAATGAAGTTTCTGTGTGGAAAGATATGATATTCTGTGTTACAGAATATCAACAGTATGTTGTAGACACCAAGAACTGTTTCACACACCCTCTATACTATTTTTTAAAAATATCTAAGAAAAATACAGTAAGATCTGTTTACAACTTATGACTATTGTTGTTTTGTGTTGGTTTGGCAAATAGAGGGGGTTTTCTGTTCAGGAAAAAAACCATAATGAAAAGAAAAGACAATGCAGGACTATCAGCAAAAAGAACTGGGACAAATACACACGAAGACAAATGAAAATTTAAGGAGATACTCATGTTTATTATCTGATTTACATTTGACAAAGCAAAGGTAAGTGTAACAAAGAGCTGTTTGACAAAGTCAAGCCCCAGATATCAAACATCAGTATTTCCCTGGCAGCCGCAGAGGGCGCATTGCCTCTCCCAGGAAGCTGTGCCCTGCAACGCACACCGCTCAGCGTCTATGCATTTGGAGTACAGGCCTGCAGGCACCTGCTATCAAAGGAGTGGACCATTAAACACTCAGAGCTCTAGTTCAGACATCAAAAGTCAAAGTTAGTAACTAACAAGTACTACTAATTATGTACTAGAGTGGTAAGAAAAACAAACAAACAGGCTTTGAATACTGTGTCTAATACACCTGCAAGAAGTGGCTCTTGTGAGCTGCCTCTAACTTATTTCTCCCCTTTGAGAAGGCCTGTTCATTTGTGTCAAATCAAGACATAGAGTATAAAACTTTTTAAAATTTTACTTTAACAATGGTCATTAACTTTTCCCTAAAACACATGCCTAAGATTATTTACAGAAGATTTGGGATCATCACAATTCAGGAGAACGTCTAATTCTTAGCTTAGGAAGGTATCCTTCCTACAATAAATATAATAGGATACTCAGAAATATCTGAGGTATAATCACCTTCTTAGAGGAGGAAAAAAAGATTGGTGTTTCCTATATTGGCATAAAAGTACATACACAGTTGATACAGAAAAAACTAAAATGTTGAGGAGGAACTTGCTACAAGGCTCTAGTTCTTACTATACTTTGCACACAAGTTTGTTACAATAGAGATTCTCAGGCCGTACCAAAAATGATTTCAGGCAGAAACTTTGGAAAACAGTAAAATACAATTCAAGACAGGATTCATTTCTAGAGACAAACATGCACCAGTATACAATGACCATGTTTCTGGTGGAACAGCAACATTAATCTAATTTTCAAAAACTTAAGTCTGGTTCTCTTTAATCAGATGTGCTTTATTTGGTGTGAATATGCCCTTGCCCTGCCTCCTAAGTTACCATTTTAGCATTGATTATAGAAAAGTATACTAATTATACAGAATACTCCAGAATCTTATAGATATTTAATTTATATAATAAACATAAATCTGATAATTTAACATTTTGTACCACTCTCTGGCCCTACACCTTCTTACTTCCTGATGTCTCTTAGAAACTGGCAACAGGAAGATTATTTTCTTAGAGAATAAATAAAAAACTTGAAGAATCAGCCAAAATAAGTACCCCAGAGTTACTTATGAAGTAGAAAGTCAAACAGTATTTTTTAAAAAGCAAATTGGGATATATTGGAAACATAACATCAGGAATTCGTCTGGCCAATTCCCACCACATTCAGGGACACTTACATTTACTGATGCACCTGATGAAATCCTTTCTAAACATGTGTACCATCTGCTGACTTCAGCATGACTGAGTGAAGAGAAGAAAAAGGAGGAGGATACTTTCTGTTTTTAAGAAATTTATCTAGAAAAGCTTTATTAAAAGGTTATAAAAAGCATGGAAAATTCATACATTCTTGCCACTACATGCATGTGGGTTTTTCTACCCCTTTGAGCACATAGCTCTTCATGTAGGAAAGGCACCTCAAGAGGAGCGAGCAAGGGAACTCCTTTGACTCAGGAATAAGTGTATCGGTGGGAACCAGAGGAGTGAGACTAGTTCAGAAAATTCAGTTGAGTAGAACAAAGGAGCAAAAGATCTGTAAATTAACCAGCAAAAAGTCAGTGCCTCCCATTTTCAAAAATAAATCAATTAGTCCCTTCCTTCATCTTCTCTCCATCATGCCTTCACATTAGGGTACTTCTTCCTGAACTGCCCTGTCTAGATCAAGCCATGCCATCTGAGGAGCAGTCCCTGATCAGCAGTACCCAGAAAACAGATCCACTTCTTCCCAGTTCACAGCCAATTTGTCACAAGGCTGAAGCCTAATTTCCCAAGTTTCATTTTGCCATCTCACATATTTTGTAAAAAAAAACAAACAAAAAGAACCAGAGAAAAAAGCAAGAGCTTTGACTCTCCCATTAAAAAGTTCATTCTGTAAATTCACAGATATCTAGAAAAAGGCAGATGTGTTTTAATTTTATTTTACATTTAAAAAACTAGTCTCAAAGCAAGCACCTGGGTTTTTTACTTCAGTTTAAATAAATAATTTAATGTGCCTGAGAATTTTTGTGCAAATACATGTCATCTTTCATTAAAAATATGCATAGAACACTTTCAAAAAAGCTTAGCTGCAACCAACTTTCCTTATTAAAAAATGTACATACATACATACATATACAACATTCTCTAATTCCTACTGATTGTACTTCTGATTTAATCCCATCCAAATTCCAAGGAAATTCAATTATGTTCATACTCCTTGGCCACTAAACTTATCCAGAAGCAATATTCTGAAAACAAGTTTCTCTGATTCCAATTTACCCACATTTCCTTCTTAAAACAAACCCTTCCAACCTCCACACACATTGTGTTTTAGGATGTTGTATAAAAATACAAATTTAAAAAATGAACTTTTGTTAATCACAAATACAAAAGGAATTTGGGTGGTGCTTGGGCTCCCAGAGATTCAAAGACCTGAAAATAGAAAGCAAAAAGAGAGTCTCCACTACACTGATCTTATGAAAAAAGCAAAATTCCTCGATTGCTAAAGCTGTGAGTTTGCCATTTGATGGAAGTGTAATTTAGCCAGACATCAACAAGGGAAAACATAAAAGCCACCTCACTCTTGTCTCAGTAACAGACTTCCAGAATGGCTTTCTCTAGGCAACAAAGTTGCTCCTTTTCTCTTCCCACCTCCTCTAACCTGGGTGTTCTCTGCTTACGCTTACCAAAAAGGCAATGTGCTAGCGAATTAAGTATTCCTGGCATACTTCAATATCACTGAATTTATTTTCTCATCACTTTTTATTTTCAAGACAAGAACACCCAACCGAAGGAGTGTATTAAATCTTTTTTTCCTTTTCTGTCTCCAAACACTCACGACCCATTCATTTATACTTTTAATTTATTAGACCTCATTCCTTAAGACCTAATCTCAATTGTTTCCGATCTCTCACTTTCCTCTTCCCACATTCACAACCCATTTGCAACATTCCTTTTCTCTCCATCAGACCAGACTACCTTTATCAGTGCAAATCTATCCTTCGTGTGCTAATTTATATAGCAGGTCAGTTAACTGCTGAACCTCAGTCCTCCTTCAAGATATCCATTTTGGATGAGGATGTGCAAATTGAGGGGCCAAAGCTACCCATCATGATTGGAAGACTCTGATTCCTCCTCAATCCACTCAATAAATTACTACCTGAATTTAAATAAACAGTAGAGTCTGGTGTCTGAAGACCAAGTTCTGCCTCTTGGCTTCTTCCATTTTCCTGGGCATCAGGGGTCTTGATTGCTCTGGCTATCCCCAGTCTCTTCAGCCTCTCTACTAAGTTCATCTTCAATTGGCACACATCAGGAGGGTTCTGGGAAGGTCTCAAGCCATACATCTCCTGGAGGAATGTTTCAGCCGGTCGGGAGGCCAAAAAATTTTCAGAGAGATGTACTCGAGGCTCAAAGGGCAAAGGAGAAGGGCAAGGTGAGTGAGATGGTGAATTTGGGGGTGTGGAAGGGATAGCCAGGTCTTTAGGCAGAGGCTGAAGGAGCGAGTTCTCTGAGACTGGGCTGTGGTACACTTTAGCAGAGATGCCTCGCTCCTGTAGAAGTTTGGCCAAGCTCATGGTGCTACTGCAGGTTACAGTGGAGTCTCGTCGGTTGGTGATTGATTCACCAATGCTCAGTCTATAGGACATAGCAGGAGAATTTACCGCAGTGTTTGATGAACTGCTACTGCTACTTCCACAGGATAATGAAGGGAACCCAGAGCTTAAAAAAAAAAAAGAAATGCAGGAGAGACAGTTTAAAAATAAAAAGCCATCTCCAAGTCAGTATTTAAGTAATTACAGTAGTTATCCACAGAAAATATAGAGGATTAGGCAACACATTAATAACTGAACTCTGTGGCAGAGATCTGAGGAATGAAAATTTTGATCTTACTTAAATGATTGGCTAATTATTTGTAATTTGTAACTTAGTTATTAATATTAAAACATTTAATAGGATATGAAAGTTTACTTTACTCTTAGATAAAATTATTCTTAAATGTTAACTCTATATAATTGTGGGAATATAATTAAATTGTATGGTAGACATCAAAGAAATTTAAATATTAAGGAAAGTAAATTCTAGAAATTCTTGTTACTATGTCCATTCCAAAAAGTGAAATATGCCAAGAGACAACAATCTATTAGTAAACAATGAACATTTTAGAAAACACAACCTTTCATAATTAAATCTGAGAGATTCTTCTAAGGAGAAATTTCTTTTTAATCTTTAAATTTTATATTACTGAGAACAAATAAACTTCTAACTGTTAAATTTCTATTTTCAAGAATGTTAATTCCAAACAAGAGTAGAACAAATTTCTCTCAGCTTTGACTTAGAACATATGTTTCTGGACAATTAAACCTTAAAGCTTTAATACTTATTAGAATCTTTCTTTTTTTTTCCTTTTTTTAACAAATAAAAAAAACCAAGTAAGAAATGGTGATAGAATGGGGAGTATATTTCTTTACTCAATCCCTCCCCCCAAGTTACTGTATTTAATAGGTAAACTTTCACTTCATCAAAAAATACTCAGTATATCAAGATATCAAGATTTTTGAAGATTATAAACAAAATGCAAGTTTAGAATGACTAAATAAACTTCTCAAAGTATTAACTCAATCAATTGACTGCTTAGTTAAACTAAAAACCTCTAAAATGATGAGGTCCAGTATGTACTGCTAGGGCCCCACCTCCTTGTCCCTATTTTACTGTAGAATTTGCCTGTTCTTCCTGTTCTTTCCCAAGTTGTACACTTCATATGATGGAATCAGCCTGCATTGAGAGTGCCCTCAAGAACCAATTTTATAAAATTTATCTTGTTGACTATAAGAACAACATAGAAAGATTGCAGATATATCTGTTTATTACAGGCTTTATTGGGATCTTCATTGGATATCACCCAAATGCTTCCCTAAACAACTGCTTTGCTTCTATCTAATAGACATTGTGAATCAATCTTATTTCCCTCCACATTGGCAGCTGGAAAATTAAGACTCAAATGCCGGGCTCATCTTAGCAAGTATATAAAACTTCACACTAGCTTTACTCTTTTATCCATTTTATAGCCTTACTCTTGATTACTCTTTGCTTTATTTTTCTTCTCTCCTTCCAGTTAACAGTATCACTGCAATGTTATACATATTTTTGAAAACTACCTTAGATTCTATTTGGGAACTGGCAGGATAGGAATAGCAGCAATATGGTTTGTTAAGTTGAGATTCCTCCAATATATGTTGGAATATCCATGTTCTTGCCTATGCAATAAATCTTCAGCCTTGCCTAAAGGGGTCTGGCCTTTGTGCTCAGCCTCTGGGAAGCAACCTATGTCATATCTCGCAGAAGTGTCTTTGTTTAGGAGCGAGGCTGGCTACAGTAGATCCTGGGGCAGGCCTGGACACACCCAATAGTTGTAGGGTCAGGGCTGACCATGTCAGAAAGACCAAGCATTTGAATTAGGGCAGTGGCTTTGGGTCAGTGGACCTAGAGGAGAGTTCAACCATATAGGTAATCAATCGATCGATCGATCGATCATGCCTATGCAATGAAGCTTCAAGACAAAATCTCTGGACACTGGCTGGCAATGCTGCATGTGCACGATCATACATCAATGCCAGGGAATTAATGAATCCTAAAGACAAGGGAAGCTTTGCAAGTGAGACCCTCTCAGACCCTGATCTATGCATCTCTTTATTTGGCTAATTTTAACCTGTACCCTTCGTAGTAAACAGTCACCATGAGCCTAACAGTGTTCAGTAAAGTGCTGGGTCCTTTTAGCAAATTAATTGAACTAGAGAGTAGTTCTGGGAACCCCTTGACCTTGCAGATGCTGCCAGAAGGGAGGATACTCCGGTGTGGAGAGGACTGGTCCCTCGCAGTCTGGCTAATGGTAGGTATAGTCCCAGCTGGGCCATTTATGACCCGTCTGCCCCTGGACCAGTCACATGAACTTTCAGTATCTCATTTTCTTTATTTACACAACACATACTCCCTTTCCCTGCCTACTTCAAAGACTTATGAGATCAAATGAGAAAATACAATGTGAAAATATTCTAAAGACAAATTATCACAGAAAATTAAAATTCTGGGAATTAGAATGAAAGTAATTTTTAAAATAAAATCATAAAAACATAGGTGAGGAAAGAAGTGAGGCCTCAAATTGCCCAGACCTACCTGGGGGTAACCTGAGTGATATCAGAGGGATGTAATATCCTACAGGTGGTGAAGGTGAATGTCAAGTTTGTGCATGACATACACTTTCCTGGGTTTGAGGTTGCAACTGAAGTAGAGGTGTTTAGGGAATCAAACACAAAATTGAAAGAGCAGGTTAATAATGTAAAAAAATTCATTATTATTTATTAATAATGCAGCACTTATCAAGCGTTATTTATATAAAAATCCCCAATCTGAAATAAAATATATATAAATATGGTATTAGTATTGACTGGTTAGTATTTAGGTTCATCCTTCAATACTTTTAGAGTATGATTTAAAAGGATTAAAAATAGCTTAGAAATAGGAGAAAAACCCACTCTGAAAAAAATATATTAGCAACCAAGATCTAGTCATTCAATCTTTCTAGCCAATTTATCTATTCCAGCGGTTCTCAAAATGTGGTTTACAGACCTTGTTGAGGGAGTCTATAGATCAAAACAACTTTCACAGCAATGCTAAGATACCATCTGCCTTTTCGACTGGGTTGCCATTTGCACTGCTGGTCCAAAAGCAATGGTGGGCTAAACTGCTGTCTCTTTACACAAATCAAGGCAATGGCACTAAGCTGTACTCGTCACTGTTGTCTACTCACAGTATTAAAAAACAGCAACAAAACAAAATGCCAAATTCACATAAGAATGTCTTTGAAGAAGCAGTAAAAATTATTCATTAAATCTTTGCTCTTGAATCTTTTTCATACCGTGTGAGATGAAGTGGGAAGTAGGAATCAAGCGCTCTGCTGCGCGCCAACATGCCAGAGGAAAAGCGCATGTGCAGCTGAGTTAAAGTATTTTCATGGGACACCATTTTCACTTGAAAGAACCACGAATAGCAAACTACAGTTCTTTAGACTTGGCTATTTGGCAGAAATTGTCTTAAATATGAATGTAGTGGAACTGTCTCTTCAAGAAAAATAGTTGACAGTATTTGCTGCCACTGACCAAATTTAAGCTTTCAAGTGAAAATGAGATTTTGGAAAACTTGTATCTACCACTGAGAGCCTGAAAGCTTCCTAATACTAAAAGACTTATTTGATGAGATATATTATGTAATAAAATGTGTCAGCATTTGGATGATGTGCATAACTCAGTAGAAAAACCAGCATTTTCCAAATGACCAGTGCATAATGTTATAAAATCATGCATGGGGAAAAATGCATTAAAAATGTAGGATAGTCCAAAAGATTTTAACACAACAAAGTCTGAAAAATTCACTGATAGGGTTTCAGATTCCGTACTGCTACAAACCTTAAACTATCATTTATCACATTTTGGTGTAAAATCGAAGAATATCCACAAATACCTGAAAAGGCTATTAAAACACTCTTTCCTTTTCCACCTACATATCTTTGTGAGGCTGTATTTTCTTTGCACTCTTCAACCAAAACAACAGATTATAATAAATTGAATGTGGAAGCTGATACGAGAATCTATCTTCTATTAAGCCATAAATTGAGATTTGCAAAATTGTAAAACAAAACCATTCTCCTCACTACTTAAAAAATAGCTGTTTTTCATAAAGCATATTTGTGTTAACATATAATTACTATTTTTAAATGAGTTAATACTTTTAGAATTTCTCAGTTTTCATTTCTAATATGGTAATTATCAATAGATACAGCCTGCACAGACAAGCTCTCTGGAATTCTCGATGATTTTTAAGAGTGTAAAGAAGTCTGGAGCCCAGAAAGCTTCCAAGCCAGTGATTGAATTGATTTCTCTCTTCTGCCTTTTCTATTTATGTGACCTGGCTATGACAAAGTCGAACTAGAAAAGCCACTAAGTGCTATAGATTTTTATTATCTTACATTACGTTACAAGGCTAAGTACACTGCCATGAGACTTAGTAGAGACAGTCAGCTGACCATACAGTAAGTCAGGATGCAAAGTACAATTAGTTACTACACTATATTCAATCAAGCGCTCTTCTTACCTGTAGCTGGCCCACCTATTGAAGTAATGGGTGGTAGAAAGATTCCTGTTACCGGCTTGGGATCTGGAGGCTTCTGTTCTACTTGGAAAGGTTGCTGAACCTGAAAAGTGATACCTTCCTCTTCATCCTCTTCTAAGTCTGAGAGGTGATAAATGGCATCCTTGGGCAACTGGGTAAAGCCTTTAGTGATAACACCTGGTCGTGGGTCAAGAATGGTTCCTAAATTTGGTTGAGCAAGCTGCTGCCAGTGGTGCAGAGTTTGTGATCCTGAACGTGCAAGAAACAAACAAACAAACAAATAAATGGCATGTTATAAATTTCTCACAAAATTAAATCTTGAAACAGAAGCTAAAAATACATGTGTAAAAAAATGTAATAATAACATAACTACTTATTTGGTCTTAATATTTTGGCATAATTTGAAAACTAAAGTTCTCTGTGAAGGACTGACAATTTTGCTGAAGATACAAATAATAATCTTTCTATTTGAAAAGTTAACTTTAAAAAGGATATCTAAAGCAGGGGTGAAAAAACACGACAAAACCCTTAATAGGAACTCAGATCGGAGGCAGAGATGAGAAGGAAAATATGTGCCTCAGAGGTGGGGCTGTTCTTTTCCCAGGTGACAAAAATCAGTACTTTCTTGGCTTATAAACTTTCAGGTCAAAAGTCAGGATCCTAGAATGGAAGACACCTTGACTTTTTCAGAGAGAGAGAGAGAGAGAGAGAAAGAGAGAGTGTGTGTGTGTGTGTGTGTGTGTGTGTGTGTGTGTGTGCACTTACCCACCTTGCTCATGCCTCACCTTTCCTGAGGCTTGCAGGGAGAGTAGAAAAATGAAGGAAATGATAAAAATAGGACATCACCCCATGTTTCCTACCTATAAGCCCTGGTGAATGATTATCCCAAGAATTTGCACCAGGTGCATTGTCTAATTATGACACCGTAGTCATTTCATCCTAAAAATGGCAACTCTGACAAATACTTGCACTAATCATTAATGAATAAAACTAACATATAGAACTTGTGAGTTTGAGGGGTCCTACTCAAAACTTTGTCTGATATAGACTCTCTTGTGATAGTAGTAGAGAATCATTTGAAGACTGCCAATTTTGTATAAAAAATGAAATTTATTTTGAATTCAAGTTCTATCTTAGAAGAGAACAGAAACTGAACTGAAAATAACAGACTTGAAAAGAAAAATACAGGAACATATACCTCTAAGTAGATGACTTTACTGGGGTAAAGAACTCTTTTTTTGAACAGGAAGATAGAGGTGAAGTATTACATCTATATTATTTTTACTTATCATATCCCATTCATCTTACCATAAAAACTCCCATCAATAATATTCCTTGGCAAAGGACAAGAAAAGATTATTCTTCTTCCCTCATCTTTATATTTTAAAAAAATCAGTAAAAGTGAACTAATGGCGATGGCCTGGAGAACTCATTCATTTTCCCACAGAGCACTACCCAGCATTGCCCCCCGAACAGCAGTTAGGGACGACAAAGATGTCTTCTGCATGCAGTGCTCCTACAACTACAGTACAAATCTCAATTCTAGGGGAAGGAAAGGCCAATAAGGAACATGGCTTAAAAACGGCCTTTACTGATTTATTACCTTCAAGGGGTTTGACGATTTGTAATTTTTCAGGCATAAAACACCGAAGGCAGCTGGCACTGCTGAAGTCTGTGATCTCCGACCGGTCAGTGCAGAGAGAGGCAAGGCTCTCCGTGGGGGTGCCACGGCCACTAACCCCGTCTTTCTGGTCAGCCAGAACCTGGATCTTCCGCTCCCATTCTTCAGCAAAGAACTGCTTCTCACTTAAATAGTTCTGTCGCCGCAGACTAAGGCGATGCAGTGCTGTAGCCAACTCACTATCTCCAGAGGGTTCTGGTTGACCCACCTTCTGAACGTTCCTATGGAAGAATCACATTCATGGGCTGTAAGGACTGTAAGGGTCATGAGCAAAACCTAGACTTCTCCTTTCTGTAACGGTGAATATTCAAAAGACTGATCTCAAAAACAGTACTTTCTCTTAGATATCTGGAATACAGAAATAGTAGCAGCATACCGAAGTCATTAGTGTTATATATCACTTTTACAGATCATTTCAAGTGACTTTGGATAGGCAAAAATATACATATTATTATGTTATGTTTACTCACTTTTCTATTTCACTTGATATATGAACTATGACCATCTATAAATTCAGTTTAGTCAAAAATTAACTATTATCATATTTCATGAATCTATAGTATCATTGATTACAAAAGGTACCATTATTTTATGTACTACTCAGAAAGAAAAAATGCTACCCATTAAACTATAACATGTTACTAGCTGCAAAACATAAACAATTTCAAAAATATTAAAATGTGAAAAAAACTGCTTCGGGCCATAGAGTCCCCTATGAATATTACAGAATATTTAAAAAGCAAATAACAAGACTTATAAATACTGCATTTTCATAGTCCTGTGATACATTTTTTTCACTTTTCACCACTTTTTAGATTAGAGGTATCTTATAATTGAATATCAAAAGGAAGAGTAGCAAGCTGAGTTGTAGTTGCTCCTGGCTACTGTGTGTGAATTCACAGAGATCTGTTTGTTCAATCTTCTAAGGTAAGGTATTAACACATAAAGCTATGTGGGTGCAGAACATGCTCACTGCAGACCAGGCAATACAACTGAAAATCCAGAGTAATGATTTCTATGTTGGGAAAGATTTCTCACAGGTGCTAAATACTTACCTTTCAACACCTTTCAGCTGACTTTCCAGTAACTGCTATTTAATTTGTAGTTATTAGTTATTTAATGCTAGTTATTCAGTTCAATGAAAAAAAGGAAGGAAATCAGTTTAAACAAATATGAAATTATAAGCAAGCTAAGTTTTCCTCAATAGGTATTCATGCTTATTGTTTATCTGAAAGGCATCAAAGCAGTTGAGATTATGAACATGGGTTATGAGAAACTGTCATCTGTTACTATGTATAAACTACCAATGACCGAATACTTTCAAACGTATTTGAGTTTGAACATGAAGATTTAAACCTAAACTTTGCCACACCAAAGAAAAAAGTAGTAAAGAATGTCAGAGTTTAATGCAAGCTCCATTTGTTAGTACACTTAATTAAATGTAACTTTCTTACTCCAAAACACTTTTATAATACCAATGATCAGTCTTACAAATACTGAGATATGGCATCATTACTGAATGGAAACTGACAGTTTCAGAACTTCTGTGGGAAAGCACAGAGCAATGCCGGAATTTGAGTATGTGAATCTGTTATGTTGACATCACAAGAAACATACCATGAAACTTAGATTTTTTTCCCACTAAATTTAAACTTAGATTTTTTTCCACTGCCACGGTCTATGTTTCTTACCCTGGACCCTCCTCCAAGTTGCTCCGCTGGCTCAGGAGGGTTTTGTCCTCTGTTTGTTGTAAACCAGACTCAAAAGGTTTTGCTGTCATGATGACACTTGAACGGTTGGAGCCTGGAATGGCTAGCAGAGCTGGGAATGGGACAGAGCGGCCCCGTGTGTCATTGGCAATCCTGACAGTATCAAATACCCGCTTCTGCTGGGCTCTGTTAAAACAGAAGTGTTCATTATTGCCACTCTCTGCTGCTGGAGTGCTTTAGAAAAGAGACATGTATGTGTAATTCATTAAAAATAAAGCCACCCTGAATAGTCTCTAAAGCTTAGGAAAGATCATTAAAAAATAAACTCCAGAACAAGAGAACTCCCACAAATGTGAATATTAAGGGAAAAAAAAAAAAAACCCTGAAAAGTAAGCAGATTGACTACTGCATTGCATAATGCCTATTGCTTTGGGTTGAGGCTTCCTTTAAATTTCTATCCCAATGGTTGAATAAGAACACATGTATGTAATTTCTACTTACTTTTGTTTACAGAGAGAAGATTCCTCATCCAAACTCAATTTTTTACGCATGGTCCCCTCAATCTCAGATGCCAGAGATTCCTAAGAAAAAAAGTTTGAGATTCCTATAATAATTATGTAAGAGGCCTGCTAGGAGAAGTGAACTGTCCTTAAATTTAGAGTCTCCAGAATCCAGTACGTTTAGTGTTACAATAAAAGAAAATACAAATAAATATAGAAGAAAAAAAAAAGACATTCTGGAAGTGCAACTTTTAAACAAGAACGAAGTACTTTTTCAGGCAAAAACCAATATGATAAACAAATACTACATATGCAGACACAAAAATAAAAGGTACAAGAGGCCATAAATTAAAATGTTACTAGTGATTCTGTAGAGGGCAGCATTTGATGGTATTTAACAATTTCTTTTGGTTTCTCTGTAATTTCTAATTTTCTATAACAAAACATGGACAGCTTTTATAATATAGAAGAACCTTTACAAGAAAAATAAGCAATCTTCTCTTTCCCCTGCACAGGGATCAGAATTCAACTAGCATGGGTGGAGTGCTCGGCAGGGCCGAGCTGACAATGACTGGAACTGGAGGTATTGGTGTGAACAGTATGGATGGAAAGAATGATATAGAACGGTTTGCGTGGGTTTGTGTAAAAACATATGTATATTTCTCAGCTTTATCTACTGAAGGGCCTGTAAGCAACAACACTCTAGTGGCAATGGGCACATGGCACCCTGATCTTGGATTCTAAATACCATTCCTCATCAAAAGTAACTAAAGCAACGTGGAGAAATGGCTGATTCCAGGACTGGGACAGGGGAAGGGCAAGATGAGCTTGAAGGAGATACCCCTGGCCAAACCTGGGACGACTGGAATACCAAAATAAAAAAAAATAATGGGAAATAATAATAATGAACTAAAATGGGATTATATGAGTTCATACTGAAATAACTTAGTGAGCAATCAATAAATGAGGCAGAAAAGCTCTAACTTACAAAAGAATAATAGTTAATAAATGTTGAAAACATGAAGAAATTAGAAATCACCACTTGGCATTAAAGCACTGTATTGATGTCAACTTTCTGACACTGATGGTGGTGATGCGGTTCTATAGGAGAGTGTCCTCGTTTTTAGTAAATACACACTGAAGTATTAAGGGAAATAGGATGTATCTGCAACATAATGTTAAATGGTCCCGAAGAAAATAAAAGAATAGAGACTGTAGTAGAATGTTAAAAATTGACGAATTTAAGTGAAGGATATATGAGAGGTTTTTTTTTAAACTATCATTGGAACTGTAGTCTAAATTTTAGATTATTTCAAAATTAAAAAGTTAAAAAACAAAAATGTGCCCTCAATATTCTTCAGAAAATCTACTATGATTTATAGTTTCCGTTTTTAAAAAAAATTTCACAGGATTACATGTACGTGTTTAAAACGAACTAGATTGCTAAAATAAGTCTTTGAACCAACATTATAAATTCTGGCATAAACTTAGTAGTTTTCATTAAATAAACATAATTCCCTACTCTCATGGGGCTTATACTCCAACTGAAGTTAAATACACCAAGAAACTCCGGATCTATTGTAAAAGGTTTTATTTGAATAAGTGGGATGTAGTGTGGCTAGGGTAAGGATGACCCAAATTTAAGGAGTTTGATGGTCCACAGACCTGAACCTAATCTGCCCAGAGTTTATCTCATATATTACAATAAATGTGGGTGATCATCTGTTACAAAGAAGGCTAGAATAACTAAGAGTATTAAGATAGAGATATGCAAATTAATGCCTAAATCAAAGGACAATTCATGTTATCTCTTCTTAAGATGCTTTACACACCATCAGAAACTGTACCACTCTTAGGACAATCTAATTTTAAGCAAGTTTCCTTAAATACATAACATCTTTCTTAGTCCCTTACCCCAGAAAATGCTCCACATGATTGGGAGAAGTAGAGATGAGCAGCAGGGCCAGATCTACTACGAAGTTCCTTTATTTCTTCTTGGGATTCATGTAACATTCCTAGGCACTCCATATTCCTGTCTTGTAACTCATGCAGCTGAAAGAAAGGATGGTAATTAGTGCAGTTTATTATATTCTGAAATGACAACGGGAGAAAAAAACCCCATTGGCATAAATATTAATTTTATCCAGAGAGCTAACTAATCAATACAAAGACTCTAAAACAAACTAAGCAAGGACAGTACATATATATTTCAAGCTGCCAGAATCAGGTGAGTCTTGGCCAGAGTATACATAAACACAATTTCTTTTTTTTTTTTTTAAGATTTTATTTATTTATTTTTAGAGAGGGTAAGAGAGGGAGAAAGAGGAGAAAAACATCAATGTGTGGTTGCATTTCGTGCACCCCCTGCTGGGGACCTGGCCCACAACCCAGGCATGTGCCTTACACTGGGAATTGAACCAGCGACCCTTTTGGTTTGCTGGCCGGCACTCAATCCACTGAGCTAGGGCCAAAAACAGGATTTCTTAAAATTCCGAATGTAGCTGAGACAACTAACTATATTCATCAATTCAATATTTAATGCTTCATACCCTTAATCTCACAGAGGAAATATAATAGTTATGGTCAAGTCAGATTTAGCATACCGTTAGATACGTTCTGTTTTCAACATCATTCTGAAGCCTGTAAATGACAAGACCAAGTCTACAAAGTATTGCATATGACGTCAGGGTGCTCATACACCCTAACAAAGTAGTTTCCTCTCCCTTGTTTTAGAACCTTTTTTGTTAGAAATTTTTGAAGTTAAAATGTACTCTGAAAAGTATGTACATTCACAAGCATCAATAGAGTACATTCACAAGCATCAATCTAACAATTGATGCTTGTGAATGTACATACTTTTCAGAGTACATTGTAACTTCAAAAATTTCTTGAAGTGTAGTATGTTGACTATATTATCAGCAGCACCAGGACTGGGATGCTTATGAAACATGCACATTCTAGGCCCTCCTTCTAGACCTACTGAATTAGAGACTTTGGGGGATGGTGCCATTTCAGACTCACCCTGCCAGGTAAAAGAACCATCAAATTATATCTAATACATAAAATTTTTATGTAGATACTAAGTAAGAGATTTTTGCTATTTCTCCTGATACTTTAAAAACTGTTGGGTTAGTTAGGGTAAAGCAGGTAAGAGGGTCACTTATTCCTAAAGAATCTTATAAAAGTCAAGGTTTTCCCCATTAGTCAGTATGGATGTTGCTATGTTATTAGTTTTAGGGATAGAATTTCTTAAACGCTTTACTTCTTAGCTCTCATAATTTCATCTTGATCTTTTGCTGTTATTTTAAATCTTATTCACAAAGATGAAAGAAACTATTCATTCCTCCTCCTCCTCCCATATCATACAAGATAAAGGAAGATTTCATTACCTCCATTGTCAGTTGCTTTTGGGCATCTTTGGAAGCTTGTAGGTGAAGTCTCAGTTCTTCCTTCTCAATCACATGCTAACAACATATGATAAGAGACATGTGAAGCCTTCCCATATAAAATAGAGGCTACTCTCTTTAAGGGTGCCCCTCAGGGATATAGACTATGCTGAAACCTATAAAAAGCTTACCTTCCAAAAGCCAAATAAGAGCAATAAAATGGCCAGAACACAAAATCCATCAAGATGTTCAGAGGCCAATGAACATGAGTCAGTAATTCACATCACAATTTTCTGAGAAAGATCCAACCCCCTTTTACTGTAACCAACCCCGCCATTCTTTTAACGTTATTTCTGCAAATGATGACCTGTTAACTAATAGGTGACTGCAGATAAACATCCTCTTTGCTTAAGAATCCTAGGAACTAACTTCAAAGAAGCAGACTTCAACCTTTAGACATTCCAGCTTTGGGAGATCTGCTGACCTTGAATCAATTATCTGAACAGACTGTGTTAGCTTGCCTATGGTCCTCTCAATGGAGAACTCTCAGCCCCCTTCTTAGGATTCCTTTGCTCTGTTGTTTTTCCTTCCTTCCCCCTCCTTACAAAGACCCTTGCCCTTGTCCAATTGTTAAGCTGGTCTTTGAGATGAGGGCTCCGCCATCTTCTCAGGCAGTGGCTCTTGAACAAACCTACTTTCCTTCTTCCAGTCCCCTATCTCTTGATCACTGGCTTTTGGGCTGTGGATAGCAGCCAACCTTGGGTTTGGTATCATTGTGGAGAGAAATAGTGACTTCAAAGCAGTTATCCATACATCATGACACAGAGAAGACCAAAACAGTGATCAGATTAAAGCACTTTAAAAGGACAGGGACCATGATTATTTTGATTAATCTAGCACTTGGCACAGAGCATGGTACTAGGTCAGTGCTTAACAAACATCTGTTGAATGAAAGAATGAACTTACTTCTTTAAGTTTGTGCTGAAGATCTACTATCTGAGACAAAAGATTGGAGATCTCTTCTTGGTATCGAATCAGTTCATCACTCTTCCCAGACAATTCTTCAGTCATTTTGGACATCTGAGCATTTGTTTCACCTTAAAAACAAATAAGAATTTTAAAAATTAATATAAATGTTGACTAGGGGTTGGCAAACTATGGCCTGTGGGCCAAAACCTGTTTTATAACAAACACTAAACTATCACAAATACCTTTTTGTTTAACGTAAACTTAAAAAATAAAGATTCTTCTGAAATAGGCTAATCTTAGGAATCGAATATGAGGCAATAAAGCTAAAAAGAGGTGTCTTGTAAAGGCAGGCTAAAAGTTTTGCTTCAATCTTTTTTTCATTATTAAAAAGATACGTACTCAAATCTTTTTCTTTATGAAAGACAAGAAGGCTTGAAAAGATATAGGTGGGTTATATTTCTTTGCAAGTGCCAAGACATAATCTCATTTCTGTCTTTGAGAACTCTTCAGGAATGTAAATAAACTCCCACAAGCAATGAACATTAAACTTAACAAGTCTAACAAAGGAACATTTCCAGAATGGAACAGCCACAATCCATTAAACCTATTGACAAAGCTACTGAAGTGCTTCTGTAGGAGACAGACTTTCTGAGATACTTGGGAAACTGAATAGGGCCTCTAAAGCAATTCTTACAGCCTAGCATTCTTGAATGCACATGAGATAAAAGCCTAGAATTCCACTGAGGAAATAAATCTTTATTTCATATAAAAATTTTGATATCTAAACACAAGTGGCAGAACCTTTTCTCAGTGTCATATTAAACTATTTTTTAATTGACAAAAGGCCAGTAACATTTCATAGGATGGCAACAAGATGGAAGAAGACCAGGATCTGAGCTCTTGGGCAAGTAATATCTTCTCTGTTTTTTAAAGTAGAAAAGGTGGGTAATGAGAGTATTAATGGAGAAGATTCAATTTACCTTCCCTCTGGTTCTCTAATATTCTGATATTCTAAGTTATCGCATTCTGAGGCCCCACCGCCCAAATGAACTGATGTGATGTTACATTTTCTCTTTCAACATAAAACGTTATAAATTAATAGAGAAATTAAACATCTTTCTCCAGTAAAGCTGATCTTTTTCCAAGTAATTTATTTTAAAATTTATTTTAATTAACAGTACGTCAAACCAAAATGTATTCCTTTATAGACATACAGTTGGTACTTAATAAATTACACACTGAATGTAAAGCATGGCTTTGCCACTTATCTATCATTTCCTGACTCTGGCAAATCACACTCTCTATGGGACTATTTTCTCATCTGCAGAACAAAAGCTTTGGTTTCTTTCACTCTTAACATGCTATAACTAATAGAAAAATGGGTCTTTATTTAATGATGATGGCAATTGAAACAAAGATATTTCTTAAAAGTACATATGGTATTTTATTTAGAGTTGTGGGCTCAATGTGATAGTCCAAGATCTTCAGTAATTATTTAATACTGTTTCTTGAGATGTTTCTACAGAAACCATTGACTTAATTTCTGAGTTGGAGATATCCTACCAAAGAACTGCCCAAAGGCAAAAAAAGTATGTTAATACTTACGAAGTTCTTTAACACAGTCATTGACAAGCTGTTGTTCTTTCTCTTCATAGGTAATAGTTTCTGTCTTTATGTGACAAGCCTTCAAGAAAAAGAAAATAGTATGTGATATCTTCTAATTATTTTACAGTATTAACTTAAAAAACCTTTAATTCTCATTTGAAGAGAAAAGTTAATCACTTACAAAGGAAAAATGTTAATCATTTATAAAGCTTTATCTACCATACAATAAAGGTATGGAAAAGTGTATGACAAACATTTCTGCCTCATTCCTCTCAGGGCTGTTGTAAATGCCTATTCATCCCTCCAAACCCCACCCCCCCGCCACTCCCCATATGTCTCTGCCTGGCTTAATCCCTAGCCTCAGCTAAAATGTCACTGGCTTAAGTAGAACTTCTTTGATTCCCAACTCCATCATACAAGCTCACAGAACCTTGAAAGTTTCCAACATAGTTCTTACCACAGTTTTATTTAATTATTTATTTAAGCTCCACAAGATATATATTCTATGCTGTGGCTTTCTCTATTTCATCTGTCAGCTTGCCACTATCCATTTTTCAGTGGGATCAAAGAAACAATAGAAGGTAAATAAATATATGTCTTCACTGCCACTCCCTAACTAGAATGTCAGTAGTAATCCTTAGCTATGTCACAATTCACCTCAACACTACCTGGGTTTAAACCGTAAAGGAAATTGGGAATTAGGTTGAATGTACCTTGGATCGAAGAGCCATATTCTCTTCTTCCAGTTCCTTGAGCTTTTCTTGCAGCATGTCCAGCTGCAGCAAGCCTTGAGATAAGCTAAAGGACTCATTGAACCGAAGAGGTGTAGAACAGCTGGAATCAGTTTCACTCTCTTCAGAAGCAATGGAGACAATTCGAAGTAACTCATCTTTCTTGGATAGCTCATGCTGCAGTTGATTAACCTGCACAGCAAAACGGCCTGATTTACAAGATGTCTTTTATATTGCATTATTTCAGATAATATATGTAATATAACTCCTAATTCATGAAGCAATTATTTCTCACCATAAAATATGATTAGCTGCTAGATTTTACTGACTAAAGTAGCAAGTGCTAATAAGAGAATAAATCATCAGATACTTCTTAAGCTATCATTTTTGAGCATTAACACAACGAATACAGCTTTTTCTATACTAGGTACGAAGGAAAGCCAATTTTCACATTCTATAAAATAGACATATAGGAAGAAATTTTCACATAAGATGATACATTCACAGTTAAAAACAAAACAAAACTGATGAAACTTCAAAGTATCAGAATACATCCCTACTTTAAATTCTTATCGTAAAGGCTTATACTTTTTAAGTTCTATAACTCTGCATGACCTCCTAACTTTAGCTCTAGGGAATAAATATTTTAACATAAAGGCTCAAACATTATTAAATATAATGCATTTATAAAATATAAATGAAACTAGATAAAAATAAATTACAGAGAATTTGAAATTTAATCATTTGAGTTAATAAAAAATCAGTTTTCACTAAAAATATTTATTACTTAGGAATAAATACATTTTAAAAAATTTTTGGGGGGGTTTTTGAATAAAGATTCTTCACTGGGTATCTATTGGGGATATATTGTTAAAAAATAAAGTTAAGAAGAGATCATACACAAAGTCTATACAAAGGGGTGAGGATAAAATGCTAGAATCTAAGCAGGGTGCCGCAAGTGTGCTAGGTATCGAATACAGGCTTTTACACTGACTAAGGCAGACTCACAGAAGCGCACCTCTGCGCAGCACCATTTCACTTCTCTACTGGTTAGTTCAATGGTGGCCAAGGAAGTCCACATGTACTGGTATTATTTACCCATTTATTGTCATCAGTTCAAGGACACTCAGGAAAAGAAATTCCTCCATTGTGTAAGACCTAATTATTTCATGCTGCAAATACTTGATCAAAGACTTACTTGATCAAAAGCTTGTCCTAGCTGCTCCTCCAGGGCTTCATTCTGCTCAGACAAGACATGGTTCCGCTTTAAGAGAGCTTGTCCAATTCGAGCAGCTAGCTCCAGGTCACGATCCCTCTGTTAAAACACCAAATACACTTTTCTTTGAGTACCAACAAAATTAGATGGTGGTTTAGAGATTTTTGTAGTCAGTTCTGCTAAACACAAAAGCAATGTTCTAGAAATCATCAAGATTCATTTTAATGCCCAGATACCAAATAAACACAGGGCCTGGCACATAGGTGATGTTTAATACAGGGGTGGGCAAAAGTAGCTTTACAGTTTTAAGTATGTGAAACAGAGTTTATGCTTGTATTATTATGTATTAATTATTACATTATTTAGTTGTATTATAACTGTAAACCTACTTTTGTCTACCCCTGCGTATGCTGGTCAAATGAATGACCACTGCACTTATAAATGCAAGTGGGCATTTCTTGACATCAAGTGAGATTTATTCATTAATCAACACTATTAATTAGAATTTAGCAACCCAACCTTGAAAGTTACAACTTTGAGGAATTAGAAAAATCAATGTAGTCTTTATAACTGAGGTCAGGGTCTGGCACACAGTAAAAGCCCAACAAATATTTGTTGAATGCATCTGTCTATCAAGCATGGCAATAATGCAGAATTAGGTATTTAAGATGTGGGGATCAGGTAGGTATGCTAAAAAGTTTCATTTAGGGCAAACTTATATGGATTAAGAAAAGGAAAGCACAGTCAAGAACCCTATTGTTGGCTGGTGCAAAAATGATGATGTGAAACAAAATAGGGACAAAGGTCTAAAAGTTTTGAAGCTACAAGGTTCTGCTCAGAGTTTAGAAAAAAAGGGAGTCTAAAGAAGTTGGTGGTAATGATGCAGGGATGCCTACAGAAAAGCCAAGCAAAGCAAGAGTTAGTTACTCTTTCTGGGTACATGGTGATACTTGGCAAGAACACAGAAATCCCACCTGCATGGTAGTAGTGAGGACTGTATTCTGTAGGATGGGAAATTGTCAATATACATTTAACTGCTTTCTATATGGTATGGGTTCTGCTTACATTAATCACTATAAGTAAAATTAAGCTTCTGTTCTTTCACTCCATAGTACATGAAAACAAGTGGATGGGTTATTTCCAAAATTTAACACCCACTTATTTTCAATGTAGGCTAAGTGGCATACACAAAGTCATTCTAGGGAACTGGAGGCTAGGTGGGGAGAGGGAAGGGGTTCTTCAAAGAGAAAGACAGTCTTCCATAAGATCAACAAAAATTGAAGTCTAAGGAGATCCCTCTATGACTGCCAATTGGAAAAGATAACACCATACATATTAAAAATGTCATGGACAAAGTGAACTAAAAAAATAACCCAAACTGAGAGCAAAAATCTTTGGAAGATTTTCCAAACTGCAGTTGTAGATTTGCAAAGGAGCTGTTTCTTGAACAGGCAACTTTGCTCCAGATTGAGTAACAACATCTACTTTTCCAGGATAGGGAGGCCAGACAGCACCATTATAACAACAACAAAAACACCCCTAAATCTTCTATAATTTCATAACAATTAACTTCAGGAACCATCTGCTTTGGAATGCCAGTTGATATGCCAATTGTTCCAATTCTAACAGCATTATATTAAATAACCCACAGCAAAGACATCATTTTTCATTTGATACAAAAGTTTGATAGATTTCAAATGATCTTCAAGTATTAGTTTTTTGTATTGGAGAAAGAAAAAGTATATTCCTACCTCTGCCAGGAGATGTGTAACCATGTCGATGTCATTGTAAGTTCTGGTCATCTGCTCTACCCTGTCTGTGCCTAGAACTAAGATAGTTAAAAATAGTTATTTAAAAATAACAGAAATTTTTAACTATTCATAAGAACTGAAAGATACCAGCAATAACAAACCCAGGCCTTCACAAAAAGACATCTAGAAGAATAAAAAAATGTATGAAAAGAAAATGTTTCATGTTTTAGACAATCTGGAAATAGACTAATTATTACAAACAAATGTGTGTCAAACAATAGATCAAGAAAGTATCAGAAGACCACAACACAGTCACCTCCTGACTATCTCCTCCTCCCTCGGTAAGATTAGAACTTTAGCCCTCTCATACTAGAGAATGTGAGCTGGGAAAACGCATTAAATCACCAACTGTTTTATATCCTAATTTAAATTAAAACTACTGAGGGGCAAATCACCATTGTTTTATACCCTAATCTAAATTAAAGTTACTGAGGGGCAAGTTTTACAGTTACTAAGGAATTCAATTAGAATTCCATTGTGATTGTCTTGATTATCACTATCATGTGAGTTGATATCAATAAACAAGGAACAAGACTTGTAGGAGTTCTTGTAGCTCTGGTAAGAGCCATAATCCTCTTTTATCTTAATTAAAAACCCTTTATAATAATCCTCATATCCAGGCCTTTGTTATAAAATAAATTATATACTATATTATTACTTGCATAATTCAAGCCCAGTATTTCTGCACTTCATAAGCTCAGGAACTGCCAATGCAGTTGGATAATTTAACTTCAAAGAGAAGGACAGCTATGACTCCAGTAATTCTACAGTTACAACAAGCAATATCTTTTTAAGATAAAGATGATGCATAATATAAAAGGAATCTTTTTTTAATCCTCTAATCTTCATATGAGGATATATTTATTGATTTGAGAGAGAGAGGAAGAAGGAGAAAGAGGAGGTAACAGAGAGAGAGAGAGAGAAACATTGGTGCGAACAAGAAACATCAATTGGTTACCTCTCATACATACCCTGAACAGGGATCAAACCTGAAAACTAGGTATGTGCCCTGACCAGGACTCAAACCTGCAACCTTTTGGTGTACAGAATGACACTCCAACCAAGGTAGAAAGGTAGAAGGAAGGTAGAAAGAGAGGGAGAGAAACATCAACGTGTGAGAGAAACATCCATCAGTTGCTTGATCGGTTGCCTCTCGCACGTGCCCCAGCTGGGGTCCTGGCCTGCAACCCAGGCATGTGCTCTGATGGGGAATTGAACTGCTGTCCTTTTGCTTTGCAGGACGATGCTCAACCAACTGAGCGATGCCAGTCAGGGCTTAAATAAATGCTTACTGACTCTTACCTTGACCTTTCATTTTCAGATTAACAAGACTCAGTCAGTTAAAAACAGTTTTTATATAACTAATTTTAAAACTACATGACATGGCTTATATTACATGACTGACCAGAGGTGAAAATGCAGTGGCAAATTTAATTTGCAACAAAGCCAGTAAGTTAAGGACGTAAACAGCTGTGAGCTACAAGTGACACAAAATAAAAGAGGAAGAGAAAATGAAGGGCACAGTAATACATAAAAGAAGTGTTTAGCATAAAGCATGTTTTAGTGAGGCAAAACTAAAATGTACTTCCTATAAATGCTTACCATCTGTCATAGTCTGAAAATTTAAAGCTGAACCTTAAGAAGTTAATCGTGTTTAATGATCTCATTTTCTTGTATGAGGAATCTTGACTGAGAGGAATTATATGACGTGTCCAGTACCACAAAGCAAGCCATTAGCGGCAAAGCCAGGATCGTAATGGCGTGATAGTAACACCCATCCCAGGAACGGAAGATAAAACTCGGGTCTGCTCATTCCCGGTAAGGGGCCCTCAGATCATCCTGCTGTTTCTACCACTGCCTCACCAAGATCAAAGGGTCTTTAGCTGATGAAGTGCTGGAGTCTCCACCTGTTATAAAACAGCACAGATCCCAATTTTGTCCTTTAAAGTATGAGCATACTTACATACGAGAGGCTGGAAGGACATACATTAAAATGTTAATAGTGATTATCTCTCTGGAGGGATTATAGTTGGTCTGTTGTTTTTTTTATTTCAGTTTTTTGCTAATGTTCCATGCAGAACAAATGTTATTTTTGCAATAAGAAAAAAAGTAGCTCTTGTTAAGAGGTTTCATAAAGCAAACATAAATTTTTAAATGCTTAAATAATTATTATGGCAAAGAAGTTCGATAAAGCAACCAGAATTCTTTACTTCCTATGTTTTAAGTGAAACACGCTATATACTACCAAGCCCCAAAGGCTGAGCTGCCTCAATTGTAGAGTTGCTCAATCAATTTCAGTCATATAGGAAGGAAATGGATTCCTCCCTGAAGCCTGATGAGTTCTGTCTTCTCTTCCTTATTATAATACTCCTGATAAGGACGTGTTGCTTGGGATGATTTCAAAAGTACTCAGCACAAAGCCCTTATATGTTCTCTTGGCATTTAGGTATTGTGATTAAATGCTTCTAAAACCATAGCCTGATTATTCACCATAATTCTGTAACTAGGAATGAAGAGATAGTCAAGCAGGCTGACTTTATTACAATCAACCCCATCAAATCCTATTTTCCCTTCAGTTCTCAGCTGTTAAAACAGAAATATGTTTAATGGTACAGAAATTAGCAATGCCTCTTGCTTGTTTCCAGACATGAATTTCCCTAAGCTAATTCTCTCATCACGGAGATGAGAAAAAATAATTTTTTTAAAAAAATTTATTGAGGTATAATTGACATATAGATAAACATTTTTTTACAGAACAATTTTATAACTTGGTTTTGAAAGGTTGTTAATTCATGTTCAACATTTCTGGTATAATATTTAGAGAATCTAATATACCTTATACATACATATATATATATATGTATATATATGGGGGTTAATGCACTTAAGCACTTCACTCATCCTTTCTTTACTTTGCACCAGCTATCCCAATTTCACATTTTTTTCAGGATGGGAAATGCCAATGGTAATCCACTTTGATATCTGCTATATATATGTGATGATGCTTGATTGTTTTCTCAGATGTCCCCTTTTCAAGATTTAGAGTTTTTACCACAACTACTAAATTTTGAAAAGACTTCTAGTCCTTCATCACTCTCCAACTCTTCCACACCACAAAAGAAAAACAAACCAACAAAAAACAAACATGAAACACAAAAACATCACCCATGTGGTATCATAAAAGCTGCAATAGCTGCTGACAACTGCAGACAGGTCTTGAGGTTTTAACCCTAAAGAAGTAACCGCAGCTTTTGCTGTTATACAGAGAACATTTCTGCAATACAAAAAAAAACAACACAAACAAACAAACAACAAAAAAACAAAAACCAACAAAACAAAACAAAACAAAAAACAGAAAAACCCTGACTTCAAAAGAACGACAACAGACTAAAAAGGAGACTGATGATATACCACTTATACTGATGATATGCCATTTTTACTGATAGTATACCATTTAGGGCAGCCTTTCTCAGCAGAGTTCCCGGAGGAATTAAGCCCTACAGATAACGATTTGAGTGACTATTTTCCCAATTCTCTCAAGGAATGTACTTAGCTAGTGCATGACGCATAGGTGATAAAGCAATCCATTAAACATAGATGTTTTAGGGCATATGGACTAATTATTTTGTGGAACTGGCTGAGAAGGCTGATTTAAAGAATCATATATCTGCTCATCTCTCTGACCTGACTATGATTAATGCTTCCCGAACATTATCAGTTATAGTTCCTTTCCTGCAAATACAGGTCAATAATATTTGAGGGCAGAGCTTGAAGAAAAGTATAACTACCAACCAGAAGTCATAGTTTTTACCATGTATTTTTCTACAAAAATGTATTCCTACTCCTTAAATTCTCCAATTAATGTCACTGTGTAATGGCCAGTTAGCTCTGCTTGACGAAGCTCTGCATCAGCCGTTATGAAACCTGAGCGCGCACTAGCACTGTCCAGAGGACTTGCTCAAACAGACTGCTATGCCCCAACCCCCACCCTGCCCCGTCCCGTTTCTGATTCTAAAGATCTCGGGTGCGGGCCCAAGAATTTGTCCAAGTTCCCAAGTGATGTTGACGCTTTAAATAAAATTTATGCAATCAATCACTCTCCCCATTCTTTTTCTTATGCATTAGGAAGTGGTACAGGTGATTCCTTATTCCCAAATAAAAAATATCCTGAAAGGTAGATCAGGTTTCTGTTCTGTTTCTGTAAACATGAGCAACTACTACTTTCTGTCATGTGTGCTCTGGCAGTACCACTCACTCCACAGCTCACTCTGGGTCTCATTCTTAATAAAATGAAGAAAAACCCTGGAGTGACTGTTCTGCATACAAAACATCCTTTTGAGTGTCTTAAACTTTGTCTATTTATGGCGTGAACTAAGGTGGAGTTTTTTTCTTTTGGGGCCCATCCATTGCTATCATGTTCTATTTTAAAAGTAAATAACCGCTTTCTGGTTTCTTTGATGGGGCTTCAGAGAAGAACCAGTATCATTTCATTCATGTGAGATAGGCTCCCAATCCAAAACCTTGCCCATTTTTCCTTCCAAATTTCTTTATTTTCTTCTCATAATTCTTTCAGTTTCTTTATGTTATAAAAGAGAGAACATGCTACTTCCTTTATTAGCTGTGAAAATTCACTTTAATGACCACAGAATCTACCAGCATGTGTGGGAAGTAGAGATAAGAAGGGGCTGAAGTAGCACCAGGGAGCTTGTCAGGGTATAATAATTACTTAAAACCACAAATCTTGAAATGTCAAGGGGATAGAAAACTGTAGGAAAGGGTGAGAGAATGTTCTGTATCTTGCTTTTTAAAACCTTAGTCAATTGCTAAATAAAATAAATCACTTATCTTTTAAATCATAAGTTGCAAATTCATAATGAAATTTATTTATGAGTGTATTGTTAACCCAAAGAATTAATACCTTTAAAATTATAGTGAAATTAAAGTACAGTACAAAGATAAAGTATTAGTGGACAATTATAATCCCAGCTTATTTGTTTCTTGATCTTAGGTATATCAACATACAGAATATACTTTAATTTTCAAATTGTTGAAATGAAAATAGTGCCATTTGACTAAAGGAATAGGATAGTTTTCCAGAACGTGGAAGGACAGAATATATCAACCTATTAATCTTACATTTTTTCTTTTTCTAAAGATGTTATTTATTTTTAGAGAGAGGGGAAAGGAGGAGAAAAACATGATGTGCAAGAGAAACAGCGATCGGTTGCCTCTCTCAAACTCCTAACTGGGGACCTGGCCAGGAACTCAGGCATGTGCCCTAACTGGGAATGGAACTGGCAACCTTTAGGTCTGCAGGTTGGCATTCAACCCACTGAGCCACACCAGCCAAGGCTAATCTTAAGTTTTAAATTGCCATCTTGGACATTATGGTCTGTTTTGTATAAAGTCCTAAAAAACCAAGTTTTTAAAAATTTGCTTATCTTTTATTTTCTAGTTTTTTTCAATTTAAAATTTATCCTAAAAATAATTCCATTAAATCATGATCAGAGACATCTTTCTAGCTACAGTTCTTCCCCACCCCCACCTCATGACTTACAAGACCAAGAAGAAGTAAACTAAGGGATACTTTCTGTGCCACTTTATCAAAATAATGACAAACAAAATTTATTGTGATGGAATTTCAGTTTGAAACTTCCTTCTCACAAATCTGAAAACTCATGGAACAAAGGGAAATGAAAATCAAAACAGTGTTCCTTCAAAAAAGCATTTTTTAAAAAGTTTCAAGCAAGCAACTTCTCAAACTAGAAAGTTAAGGAAACTTAAAGAGCTATTCAGCTATTTAAAAAAATTACTGAGAACAGAAGTACGTTTTACTTGAGTTTCTTGATATTCCAATTCAAGTTTAAACGATGTTTAGAATTCTTTTTCTGAGCAGCGAATAACCTTGCTCTAGAAAACTACTATTAAAAGCAAGTTAATGATTAGTATGAAAATGAGTATTTCACAACAATCATTCTCCAGCCACAATCTTCAAAAACACTGAAGCACTGACTGGGAAAATCTCTGGGACCTGATGCAACCTCATATCTAATTCAAATGAAAAGAATTTCACAAACATATCAGCGTTGGACTGACACACCTTTATTATATATTACAACAGCTATTACACACATAACATTTGTATAAGGAATAAGAAAAAAGGAAGCTCAGCCTGAATTCAGATCTTTGGAATGGGGTCAAAAACAAAAATGTCTCCATAATTTAAACTTTAAAAAGTACTCTATTTAATTTTGTCATTTCTAAGAGCTTGGTGTAAAACAGACTTATTTTCAGGACAAATCTGGCTTAGCCTTTCACTGAAATATTCTCTGTGAATTCTAAGTAAATAATTAAGTTTACTATATAATGTATATTTATTTCTTCTTGGCATTATTAAAACTACTTATGCATCCAAGGACTATGCTTCTTAATGATTGACATAGTTCCTGTGACTGTGTTTAATAGGGAAGATAAAGAGTCAAAAAGCAGATGGCTTAGGATTTCAAACTACTGGGATAATAAATGTCAAGTGATATAAAGGAATATTAAATTTTTAAATGATTTCACCACCCTTTTTTTTTTTTTAGGTTCCCTTTCTACTCAGTTGGAGGAAGGATCAAGTAAAAGATGGGAGAAGTGGGAACCTGTGGGTGTGCCTGCGACCCTGGACACGACTCTCAGAGTTGTAAGAATGACAAACTTTCTGCATTCAGACAATTAGAATCATCACTTTGTGGTGTTAAATTAGCTCCAGTCAAAGCCAGTACACACTGAACAATGGCTAGGGGTGTCAGACACTTTAAAAGTCAACACCAAGATAGTGATGATTTTTATTTCAATGGACAAACTTTAAACGGGTAAAAAAAATACTCACTCATATAACGGAAAGTCTCTTCGGCAAGGACTGGAGAGAGGGCACCAGATGCATGCTGCTGCTGGTGTGAGGACTGAGCCCAGTCTTGATTTTCGTATAGAAAGAGAGAGTCAACTTTTAGTCTATACTGGGGTAGTTGTTCTTCTAGCAGACTCACCAGCTCAACTTCAGGGAGATCTTCATTGGAGCAGACATCTGAAGAAGAGAGTCCATGTAAATGATTCCAATGTATTTCAGTTACTAGGCTACAGAGAAAGATCACTGAAATAAGTTCTGCCAAAGTAGAAAAATCTAAGACACATTAGCCAAGATCAGTTCTCCACTGATTTTTATTAATGTATCCTGGCATTATAGTTGGTCTTTCTCTGGGTTTCTTTAATATGAGAACTTCTATAGTAAAAATAATACCATGAATATCTAAAAATATATTGCTTAGTATACATGTTTTTAAAGTTTAAAATGAATTTAGACAAATTTATTATTTCCTCTTTATCTATCTATTTAGTGCTGGTTAAAAGAGATCTGATTTCTAATAACCTACATGCTTGGCTGAAAAAAGGCAGCACAAAATAACCAGCAGGAGACAGTTCTAAAAAAGTAACACTACATGTTCTTTAGTAACAGAATTTGAACTTTGCAGGAAAATTCTTCAAAATCTGGAAAAATTATACTTTAGTGTATTTTCAAAGCAACTAGACATAAAAAAAATTAACATTTACGGGTTAAATATTAACCATTAACATTAACATTCTAGTACAGTGTTTCTACACTGGTATTGGACTAAGTAGTTCACCATTTTTTTTTTAAAGATGTAGTACATTTACAGCCACGAATACCTTTCATATCTCTACTCACCTGCACACCTCTAACTCCCCCACCCCACCCTATACATATCTCTGAAGTTGCCTGGGCTTCTTTGTCTTTGCATGTTTGTTCCTGACTTTCTGTCTGAAATAATGCCCATCATTTAACACCTCCTAAATTTAGCTGTTTACAAGAAAAGCAAAGTTATCCCTTGTAATATGCTTAAAATACTAGGGCTTAAAATAGAGAAAATACAGGATGTCACACCAACCAACCAACCCTCTCACTTTTTTAAGAGATCTAGTATTTCCTTTGTGGGTTGTATAAAGAAACATGTCCTAACTATAACAAATAACAACAAATGAAAACATACCCTAAAAGAGTAAGTTTCTACTACTTGACCTTGACTTAACAATACCAACTTAATAAATCAATTACAAGGAGGATGACTACAAACTACCCTATCCACCTAGAAGTACATGCTTTGGCTTCGTAACCACAACGATGAGATACATTTAAAACCTTAAATATGGTTTTAGAGGAGCTCTTAGCAGATTTCTTAAATTTTGAGCCCTAAAACTACATCAAATTCTATTTCCATGAATTCCATGTGATTATCTGAATTTTTCCTGCCACAAATACATCTCATACAGGTTGCCACTGTAACACCTGCAGGAAGAGAAGCTGGTTAAATACATGTGGAGGCATTCAAGGGTATGATGGAAATAAAGAACAAAAGTAACACTTAAAAACCTACCATTACCTAGAGATGTTCTTTGAATAAGCATTAATGAAATTCTATGAAAATTCAAAGTTATGAATTCTCCATTTCCAAAAGGTAATTAAAATAAATGAGAATACAATCACAGTTTAGTAGACTAAATTAAATATCCTTCAGACTAGTTCTTTTGCTTCTATGTTTCTGATAATCCACTACTCATTACTGTCCTGATTGTCCAATCCTAACAACTTCCTCTCTACCATTTTATTCTCCAAATGTCTCTTTCACATGCACACTTCTTTCTAGCCACCTTGCCTCCATTTAGGTTCAAGGCCTCCTTTTCTTTCTTTTGAATATGGCCTCCAAACTGGTCTGCCCTCATTCCACTCAAATTTGCCTCCACATCTTCATATCTTAATTACATCATTCTCCTACACAAGGTCATGTGGTCTGAATTTCATCTAGCCAGAGTAGACAAACTTCATGAACAGTTGGGACAATCATTAAAGATTCTAGAAGGTCATGCCTATCAGTACTAGGGCTAAATTAATGCTAGAATAAAGCATACTAGGAGTATAGTATAGAGTATGATCAAGAGCGCCACATAACCAAAGATTAAAAACAAGCTTCAAAAGGATCCACCTCATCAGTAAGTAACTTAAGGACCTGCCAAAACAAATTTTAAGTCTTCCAAGGAAAACAACCAAATCCAAACATCTAATAATGTAATATTTATCATGTTTATCATTCAATAAAAATTATTAGATACACAAAGAATAAGTAAATTGAAATCCATTAGCAGTTGGAAAATGAGTCAACAGAAACAGGCCCAGTAATGAAAAACATGATAAAATTAATAAGCAATAATTTTAAAATAGCTATTACTAATATGCTCAAAGGTTTAAAATGAAAATATAACTTGATGACAAGAGAAACAGAATATATTTCTATAATTATAAAACCCAAATAGAACTAGGGTACACTAACTATCAGAAATAAAAAGTTCACTTGGTAACATTAATAAATTAGACATTCTCCAGATGAACAGAACAGTAGACTTGAAGGCATAGCAATGGAAACTACCTAAAATGATGTACAGAGCAAAAAAGATGGAAATGAAATGAACAGAGCATCAATGACTTGCATCACAATATCAAGCATTTAATATACATGCAATTGGAGTCACAGAAGAAGAGGCAGGAACAGAAAAAATATTTTAAAAAATACAGGCTAAAATCTTCCAAATTTAATTAAAACTATAAATTCATAATTAAGTAAGCTGAACTACTTCAAACATAATAAACACAAAGAAAATCCAAAGAGAAAATCTTAAAAGCAACGAAGGGAAACAAAAGACATTACATTTGAGGGAACAAGGAAAGAATGACCCATCAGAACCAACATACGGGAGATGACAATGCAAGGTCATTAAAGCACATATAAAAGTCAACTTAGAATTCAGGAGCAGTGGAAACACCTTTCAGAAAAGATGAAGTTTTTCAGACAAGCAAAAAACTGCAACTATCCATTGCCAGCTGAACTACAGAACAAAAAATTCTTCAGGCAAAAGAGATACAAGACAGATACAGATTAATTTATATGAAATTCTAGAAAAAAGCAAACTTTATCTATAGTAACAGAAAGCAGATTAGTGGTTGCCTTGAGTCAGCAGTAAAAGGTGGTGAGTACTGGGTACGAGGGAGCTTTTGGGGGCAATAAAGATGTTCTACAACTTGATTGTACTGGTGTTTACGTAAGTGCATATATGTAAAAACCAAAGTGTACATGTAGAATGAGTGCATTTTATTGAATCTTCATAAAGATATCTCAATAAAGCTAAATAAAAAAATGGGAAAAAAACCTTTGGGTTTAGATGGGTTTCAGAATTTTCTGGAGTTTTAGTAAAGTAGTACTGTGCATTGACTGTATGTTATTTAACATCCCCAACTAGTTATACAGCAGTACTCTGTACTTAAATACACTAACACACTTTCAGCAAACATAAATATCTAAACTGAAGTGAGGTAAGTTTACAAACAGCTATTTCTAAATAGGTCATATTTCTAAACAGGTCAGGTTTTGTGGCCCAATGAATTTAACCAAAGTTTAGCAAACCCTTTGGGTGTTCAGAGTTTTTTTTCATTTAGTCTTGCAAATGAGGGCTTATAGTTCTTCACCTGTTGTGTGTACATGAAGTGTGTCCTGACTGCCTCTTACATGTCAAGTGTTCTTGTCAGGTGCTTGCAGGGTATACAAGCACAAGCAGCTTTGTCCTTGACCTTCGGAGTTAGGGAGACGAGTATGACAGCTCCTGCTGACCCGGGGCTCGCCCGTTACAGCGAGTCAGACCCAGACAAGGAATGGCACGCAAGGCATATTTTGATAATACGACAGGAGACCAGGGGATGAAGGAATTAATTCAGTTGGTTTCTGAGAAGAGGAGGCTAGAAAAGGAAGCTAGCATTTTATCACAGGGATATTAAATGTTGGATTAAGGCGTTTGCATTTTATCCTCTAAGCAGTTCAGTACTTATTAAACTGGACTCACCAGTGATGCTCTCTGAGTCTCTGTGATTGCTATTCATGAGGTTTTCTTCACCCGCTGGTGATGTAAAAATGGCATTCTGGGATTGATTCATGCAGGATCCTTTCTTGCTTTGGTTGAGAAGGACAGCTTTGGTATGAATTAGAGTAAAGGAAATCCATCAAGCCATTCAATAAAAAAATGGATCTGGTTGTATAGATATTTTCTTTTAAACAGATTTTTTTTCTGATGTGACAAATGACATCTGCAGCCACGAGTGCTCTCAGGTCATTATCATACCTTGGACAGTCATAACCTAGAACAAAGAATACATCACATGACTTTGAAAATCAGCATACTCTTTAATAACAGCCGTCCAATTACCTGTAATGTCTGTCGTTAAGAACGTTTTCCTAATCATGCACACGACATTGATACATTTCAAAATAACTATGCTGGATGAAAGGAGTCAGACTGAAAAAGAAGATATAGTTTATGATTCTATTTATATAAAATTTTAGAAAATGTTAACTTATCTATAATGGCAGAAGGCAGATCAGTGGCTGCCTGGGGTTGCAGGAGGGGTTACCAAGGGGCAGGGGGAAGGTTTTGGGGATGATGAGTATGTTCATTATTGTGATGTGGTGATGGTTTCACAAGTGTGTATATATGTCCAAACTTACCATATTGTACTGTACACTTGAAATATATGCAATCTAATGTATGTTAATTATAGTCAACAAAGCTGTCAAAATTTAAGATAACTGACTGCTCATTGTGGGACCTATAATAAATGTAAAAGTAAAATGTACTACAAAATAGCACAAAGGCCAGAAGGAGAAAAATGGAAATATACTGTTGTAAATATTTTATATTACATGGAAATAGTAACATATTGCTTGAAGGTAAACTGTGATAAGTTAAAGATGTATATTACAAACCCTAAAGCAACCAATGAAATAACTCAAGAATTACGAATAATAAACCAACAAAGGAGATGAAACGGAATAATATCCCGTTTCAACCATGACACTACTGACCAGATAATACATTGTCTTGTGCTTTGTAGGGTATTTACTGTTTCACTCTTTATAGAAGAAGTTTGCCAACCCTTGATCTAGTAGTAAAATACATCATATATCAAATAATCATCTGTCTAAATCAATGATTTCCTACATCAACTTCTTAAACAGAGTTCTCCCTACATTTAGATACTTGTAATTAGATCACTACCTCTAGAAGAATTCCAGTAAACTAAAGAACAGACCTCTTTTTACACCTACAGGTATATTTAAAGTTATTTTCAATTTCTAAGAAAGCATTTTAAAAAATGTCACAAATTTGCTTGCGAAGAAGAGAGGTGAGGGAAAGAGAAAGGAGGAAGATGAACAGGGAGAGGATAAAATGCTTCTCATACCAGTTCAAGTTTGTTCTTAAACAGAACTGTGGTTCCTAATCATATTGGAACCAGATAATATATTGAAAATTCAATGATAATCTGGAGACCTTCTGCATGACATTCTGTTTCATACCAGCTGGTTTAATCTTATATTTACATTACCATTCCCACTTTTCCTGTGACTTTATATTTACATATATCTCACAGGAATCACACACATGCACACACACATAAACCCTATTTATAAGTTTCAACTATGGACTCCAGATCTTTGCTCTAGAAGAATTGCTTCTTAATCAGTTTTGAAGCTTGTTAATGGGTTCGCCTTAACTCTTGCATACAAGAACAGAGAAAGCCACGCTGAACAGAGAACTAAGTCCATCTCCAGAGTCACACAGGAAGAATCTGGACCTCCTGGGCAATGCAAGAATCTGCCCAACCTGCAGACTGTGGAGCAGGTCAGGGATGATTTGGAAGTATGTTCTTCCTGACGACTCTTTAGAACTAAATGAACTCTTTGATTATGTCCTGGTCTAGATCTGAGCTCCTCAGTAGGACTAGCCTGGAGTAGCAACTGTGAGTATAGAATAACATCTATAACTTGGCATTAGACGAGCCTGAATTTTCAACTTACTTACTGGTTTTCTGACTCTGAGCACATTATCTAACAGTGCTAATTGTCAAGACAGGAGTTATAATTAACTACTTACTCTTTTTAGGGAGGATCGGGTACAAGGACTAAAATGCTCATTCCCTTTAGTTTCCCCTCCCCCCTTTCATTTGAGCCTGAAGAAAAGATGATACCTTCAGCCTAACATTTAAGTTTCTGACTCAACAGCCAACTCTAAGCCCAGAATGGCTACCCTGGTTGAGTACAGAACAGATATAGTGTAAAGATTACATCTGAATAATCTTCATAAAGAGGTAAGACCTGAGAAACTGTGTCATAACGAGACAAGTGTCATGAGGCGGGACTGCTGAGGTAAATTATTACTGAAGCTTATTTCTTCATGGAGTCTGGGGAAGGGCTGCTGATGATAAGTCTTCACTGTAACTGGTACCATTATCCATAGCATAGTGGCTGTATTAGTTTCCTGCTGCTGCTACAACAAATTACCCCAGGTTTAGTGGCTAAAAACAACAATCAATCTGTTATGCTACACTTCTGGATGGCAAAGGATAAAATGGTTTCAATGGACCCAAATCAAGGTGTTGCCAGGGCTGTGCTTCCTCTAGAGGCTCCAGAGCCCCCTCCTCCATCCTCAAAGCCACAGCACAGCAGCTTTAAATTTCTCTCTCTCGTTCTATGTCAGTTACCATCTTCTGCCATATCTCCCTTTATCTCTCTTTTCTAAGGATAAATGTGATAACATTTAAGGTCTGATGGGATAATCCAGGACAATCTCCCCATCTCCAAAATCCTTAATTTAGCCTCTTCTGAAAAATCCCTTTTATCATACAAGGTAATAGTCACAGGTGCCATAGGACTAGGATCTGGATGCTTCCAAGGACCATGACCCACCTGACCACAGTGGACTCTGGAACTAGACTGCCAATATCTGATTGCCAGCTCCACCACTTACTGGTTGTACGGCCTTGCAAAAATTACTCAACCTCGTTTATTCATCTGTAAAATGAGTCTAATAACAGAGCCTATTTTGTGAGGTTGCTATGGAGATTAAGTGAGTTGAGAGAGGAAAATAATAGCTCCTACCACAGAGGGTCCATAGGGAATTACATGAGTTAATACATGTGAAGCTCCTAAAACAACACTTTAGAATACAGTGAATAGTATGCAAATATTAGTTATTATTTCTATTACTACCAGTTAGTACTATTTTATTGTCATAATTATTATTGTACTTTACACAAAGTGAAGCACAATGTAAACCTTGCCCATGACTCCTTAATGGCAGCTTTCCTCAACATCAGAAGTCCCATTTAATTCTTGCCCTCTTACACGTGGTATTTACTGCTATTAATCATTTTCGTTCTACTTCTCTGATGCATGAATAAAGGGAAAGCGTTCAGAATCAGAGTCCTAAATGTAGTAGAAACTAAACTTTGGCAAGTGGAACAACACATTCTCAGTGTCTTTCCTAGTTTGTACACACACATTCTAAGTACTTCCTTGAGTACCATCTACTTTCTATGCTGGATCTCCATTCACTCTTTTTAGGAACAACTTTGCTGCTTTTTCATAAAACAATCAATCAAGCATGCACTATTAACAAGAAACCAGCCTTTGTAATTCATGCACATTTAGGAGAAAATGAAATAAAAATGGCCAAGTGACTTATTTTAATAAGAATAGGACTTTAAAAAGAACCACCAAAACATGGCATTGATAGAAACATTACTGGCAGAAAACAACATGGTTAATAACTTAGTTTAGCTTAGCCATGGAAACTAATCGTCAACAGTGAGTGTCTAAATATAGGCCCTGTGCCTTAAAAAAACTTACTTCCTTAACACAGGATACTCTGGTCAAAACAGCCTTCAAGAAAAACTAAAATAACTCAGGGAAACTTTATCTTGACAGGGGCACAGGTGTACAACAATAAAGTTAAATTTTATTGTACAAATAATACTTTGGGGATTAATTTAAAATGCACGTTGGCTGCTGATCAGCATGCGGAAGTAGGAACAGTGCCCGTCACCAATTCCAGCAGCAGCTTTTTTAGGCAGTAGCAGCCCTAATCCAGACAAAAAATAAACTGTGTCATTTAAAAAATAAATGTACATTGTCCCTACATTAAATAATAGATTTTTTTTTTACAGAGACTCACTAATTTTAATGTATCTGGCTACATCAAAGATAAGATATGCTAAATAAATTTTAAAAACCACGATCATTTCAAAACCAGACACTGAATCACAAAAGACTATATATGACAGCTTCAGTGTTAAGAGCTAAAAAGAAAAAAAAAGCAGGGTGAAACCATCAACAAAATCCAACCTGGGCAGTGAGCAGCGGCCTGACAAAGAAAGAGACCAAACACCCACACGAAGTCCAGCTGCACTCGTGTGCCACAGTATATATCGCATTGGCTACACAGGTCAGCTATTCTACCAGCCATTGTAAAGTTCATCCTGAGGAAATAGGATTTGCGCCCAGCAAATATTTTGTCTCTCTTCATTTAGTGCCACTCAATGAAAAGATCTATAGGGTTTTCAGAATATGAAATAAAGGGGCAGTTCTACTTACAAACAGGTTGAATTCCAAAAGGCTGTTAAATCCACCAGTTTAGAAGCCAAAACTGTGAGTGAGATTTAAGCTTATGGGGCCCTCATTTCCTACTGATATTTTGAGCGTAAAAAAAAAAAAAATTGCCCTGTTATGTTTAAAATGAACTTTTGCTGAGGTGGGCAACCCCTCCCTGCCACAATCTCTACCAACAGGAGATGGGAGGGAACCGCTGGCAGCTAAGGAACCCACATCTGCAGATTAGAAAAGGACTTGACCCCGTGATGCCATCTGTGGCTTCTGATGAATTCCCACAGCAGCACTTCCATTCCTCATACTTGGCCTTTAAGTTCCTGAACGCTTGATTTTAACCTTAACCTTTGACTAAACAGATATCCCACTTTAACAATGACCCTCTGCGAAAGCCTTTCAGACATTCACAGTTCTTCATCTTTGGTGAACTGTCAATGGCACAGATATATGTATTTTTTTCCCACACTGTGGAACAGTTCTTCATAACCATTCTTATTGTCCAATCCTTTATTTAATATGTATAATTTTCTCATTTTCACTTTTTACACGATTTCTACTTCTATGGAAATCAATTTATCATAGCCCTGTTTTTAGAGAAAAAAGTAAGGTTTGTAACATCTATAAAATACTTCGGAACTATATACATATAAAACAAACATACCATCTATAACAGTAATGGTTGAGTTGAAAATGACCG